AGGGGAGCAACTATTTGCTCCTCTTCTTTACTCTCTGCTTCCTCTTCAGCCTCTACTCTAGCTACCACTTCTTGTTGTGGACTAGCTATCTTAGAGGGTTCTTGAACCTTAGAGGAGGCACTTAGTGCAGTCTGCTCTACTAGCGGAGAACGTATTATTAACGTGTTTAGAACACGTTCTTAAGCATTTACTATTAAGCTCCTATAGAAGATCCTTACTTCCGTAATGCCTTGTATTGTGGTTCTGCCACAGTTCACTAGGGCTATTTAAACCTTAGGATAATACCTCTTAAGGTGGTGGATAAGATTGCCTCTATTAGAGAAGCGACGCTAAAATGGTTATTAACATGTTGTAAACGTGTTCTAACTCGCATGCATACATACTCCACAAAGTTCCTGTACCCCTAATCTAGCCTAAATAGCCTAGCAGAAAAGCTCGCCAGGAAATACTATACACCCATTATTTAGGTAGGATGTTACAGGAGAGAATGCCCTAGCATTAGATAGAAGTGACTTAAGCTTAATATATCGCTAGTATGAATCCTACTTAGTGTTAGAACAAGTTCACAACGTGTTCCTAACGCGTTCTATTACATACTAACTTCAAAAGATCTTTATAGACCATATTAACTAGTTATATCCAATAATATCAGGAAAGATAGATAGTAAAATAGTATTAAACTCTTAAATATAAAAAGTTCTTGTAGAGTGTAAGAAGAAAGAAGAAGAAAGAGAAGAAGAAAGAATATATATTTATCCGCTTATATATGCTTACGTGATAGACTAGAACATGTTAAGAACTAGTTAGGAACTAGTTACCGCATTTGTAGACTAACCCTGCCTCGCATAAAAAGTAGCCATCTCTTTCTTAAGTTCAAACTGTGCCTTTTGCAATTTAAACAGTGCCTTTTTCTGTGCAAGTTCTTCCTTATCTACCTCTAGCTTTTCTTTTCTCTCCTTTAGAGCCTAATTACTAAGAAGAGCCTTTTATTGCAAAGTTTATAGTTACAGACTAATAACAAGTTAGGAACGTGTTGTAAACATATTTCGCGAAGCATACCTTTAGGTTGCTGTTAGCAGAGGAGAAGAGCCTAGTGGTGGAGAAGATGGAAAAGGGGCTAGTGAACTTCTTTCTAATACCGCTCTACTACTTGCCCTCTAGCTTTAGGCTTTTAAGCGTGCTCTTTTATTTCTTATTAGGACTAAGACATATCTAGTTAAGTTAGACATAGCAAGACTTGCTTTATTGTTATCTAGAGTATTATCATCGTCGCGGGACGCGTTCCAAACACGTTCTAAACACGTTTCAATCAGCGAATGTGCATAACGCCAGCATAAGACTTACTTTCTCCCCTTTAAAGCTTTTTAAGGTACCTTTGCTTAAGCCCATTAGGAGTTCTATAGTTATAGCGTATTCTAAACTTGCTCTAGGCTTCAAACTCTTTTATATCCTGCAGATCCATCTAGTGTGCACTACACAATGTTACTCATACAATTCTAACAGGTTAAGAACAGGTTGTAAACTTACTTCCAAGTGGCCTCAAGAATACTTACATGCTTACTAGTTTTATATCCTTTCTAGCCTGCTTGCTTAGCTGCATTTAAATAAGATTCTAGTTTTTCCTATACCTCTTTTAATATTTCACTACAGCATTGCACAATCCTAGCAGCAATTACTAGGTTTTTCTTATAGATTACCTAGTTTTAGGCATCTTCAGAGGGTTCGTGTTCTAATCATGTAAGAACGAGTTAGGAACACGTTTAGAACAGGTTCAGAATATGTTTACTTATGTAAGAGGAGGTTAGCAAGCTAAAAGTATTCCTCTGCTATTAATACCTATAGTAATTCACTTAGACGTAAAGAGGTAGTATTATCTAGCTCTCTTTTACATACTTTATAAATACTTCTTTGTAGATGTACTTAACAAAATCTTATGCAAGATTAAAGTTACCAGCGCTAGTCACGCTTGTAGGGATTAATTAACTAGAGATAGCGCCCAAGTCCTAGAAACAAGTTAGAAACACGTTACAAACATATTATGGTGCGCTATAAAACTTACCTATTATCTACTTGTTGCACATGTTAACAGTAGTCCTATAGAATCCCTATAAGTAAATATACCTCCATAACACTTGTCTTTTTATAAGTGCTTTATACTTCTAAAAGAAGTTAGTAATAGTAACTTAATACATCTTAGTTGTGTCCTTGTCTATAATAATTTGGCCAAGTGTAATAACTACAACGTGTTAGAAACGTGTTACAAACCTGTTCTTAATGCGTACGCTTCTTTTCCTGCGGGTAGAAGATTACTATTAGAATCTCTACCTATACCCCATACAACCTCTTATATAACATATCTATCTAGAACGTGTCTTAATCTAATAGAATTAATGCCTGCTCTTTAAAAAGGCAAATAATCAAGTTACCTAAGCTTAATATAAAGATTTGCTATATATACGCCTGTAGTAACGTGTTAGCAACGTGTTCTAAACCTGTGCTCTCACACTACGTACAGTTTTAGGATCCTAATACTTTATCCTCTACTTATAGTGTACTCCTCTAAGGCTACTCTTAAATAGGAACTGTAGAAGCTTTTCACGCTTTATAATACGCAAGATTTTATCTTTATTTGCAAAGCTAATATACATTTCTTTAATAGAATAGAAACCTTTAAGTTAGAGATAGGTTTAGAGCTAGGTTAAGTTTAGGAACTAGGCTATAACAAGTTAGGAACACATTCATAATAGGTTGCAAACAACTTACATCGCGTAAGCTGTAGAGTAAGCATAGGCCACAACACCTTTACTACTTCCTTAATATCACTATTAGATAGTGTTAAGGGAGGAGGAGGTATATGTGTATGTATACCAAAAGAAATAATAGCAAAAAAAGGTATTGCTACTATATCTATTAGTATAATTACTTAGAAGGTAACTTTACACAGGATTTTAAACAGAGATCCTTACCCTTATAGATAATTAACGCCTAGAACATGTTAGGAACATGTTAGGAATAGGTTGCAATATGCCTACCACACTTCTTTATCTAGCTTGACTATGGCTTAACCACAGAACATAAAGCAGGACTACTAGAAAGATTTAATATCTCCCTAGTTAGAAGACCTTGTAGATATGTAGAGTCTACCTCTAGTAGTACCTAACTAAAATAATGTTTTTTCCTAGTAGCAGATATTAGGCTGTAGTTCTAACAGCCAATATATAGTCAAGCCTATTCTATAATTTGCTAACTTATTATTAACACGTTTCAAACATGTTTAAGTTTCGCTCCCTACCTAATTTACTATAGTCCTTATTACAGGACAACAAGACACCTAGTAGTCCTCACAAATTCTTAAAGAGAAGCGCTTAATAAGGCTATAATAATAGCTTCTTGTTCATAGTTCTCTTTATAGAATTTTCTTAGGTACTACACTTTTTAAGGTTTAGATCTAATTGTACAATGCGTTATTAACAACGTGATAAGAACACGTTTATAACGTGTTCTTAAGATACTTACACGCTTTTACCCTAGAGTATTAGTATTTATACTAGCTTGCTAGCTAGCTATTAAAGAATAGTGAAGTTATAGGCCTATTAAGATAGACAGACTAGCGGGAGTATTATACCTGCTAGAATTAGAACAATTTAAGAACGTGTTCTTAACGTGTTACCTATGTAGCCTACACAAGCACCTCTTCTCTTATTAAGTAAGAGCTATCTTTATATTGCTAAACTAGTATTATATACCTATACCCTTAGCTGTATAATTAAGGGTATGCTAGGAGAATAGCTGCATGCTTAATAATTGCTAGTGTAAGTAGTGGTCCTTAACTATTACTACAAGTAAGGTATACATTGTGCCCCTATAACGTGTTACTAACCTATTCTAAACTCGTTCTATTTACTTTCACTTACTTCCTTAACACTACTGCTACCATCCTCCTCTAGCACTTCATACGGTTGCCCAAATTCATCTCTAATATCACTATCTAGTTTAGATACGTTGTCTAGTACTGCTGTACTAAACTCTAGTATAGCATTTAGGAACGCCTGCATATTATTAAGAATAGGTTTAGAACACGTTTGAAAAAGATAGTAATAAAAACTACGTTTACTTGCTTAAATTACCCTAATTTATACTTGACTATAGGCTAGTTCATATAACCATGAAAATTTGCCGCTGTGACGTGGACTTGAACCTACAGGGATATTCTAACCACTCGGAGTAAAGCCCAAGTCGCCCGACGCTAAATCCATGGTCATATGACATGCCACCACGCCTAACCCCATGCCAAATACGAGTTCACGCAGCGCTAATTCCATGGTCATATGAACTGCGCCCTCCGTCAAACGTCTCGTGGCAGCAGGCAAGGGCGAGGGGATCGATCCCTACTAGTGATCTCGGCTAGTTTGAGGATCACGTTACTTGTCTTGTGCTGTTAAAATAGCCAGGAAGTAGCAGTGGCAAATCACATGATACTCAAACTACCCGAGCGCACGAGATTTACTCTAGACACTCGCTTGCTTACCTTGGTGTCTTGGTTTCTCCATCACACGACACGTCAAGCCTCACTCGCGTCGTCTCCTACTCGCTGCGCCGGTTCGGTGAGGCCCACATGGTGGCATGGTCGGCTTGAGGTCATGGATCGTGGGCATATGATGTTGCGGACCGAGGTGATGTGGATGGGCGCGGATGGCGAGATGATGTGCACGGGGCGGAGCTGGGGAGGGTGAGGGTGAGGGTGAGGTTGGGTTGGGGTGAGGGGTGTGACTTTGACGGTGACTGTGGCTGCGACTACGACGACTACGACTTGCACAGTCAAAGAGTCACAGTAGACTGACAGTCTTTTGTTACTCCTCAAGGGTTTGTGGACGCTACACCACACAAGTCTTCTTTGCATTTCGACCTTGAGCTACACCATCCTGTCCTATCCTGTCTTCCTACACTCCCGCACTAGGCTTCTCACTAGGCTTCAGAGCTACTGAGTCACAGCAGCAACGATGCTGTTCCCTATAGTCCTCGTCTCTCAGTTTGCACACTACGCCTATGCATTCTCGATACCGCAACTACCGCGCCTGAGCAACTTCGTGGGCGCGAGCCATGCTCAGAGTCAACAGCAACCGCTGCAGGATACCCTCGATGGCTGGCTAGAGAAAGAAGAGCGGGTAGCGCTGGAAAGACTCTTTGCAAATGTTGCGCCAGGTGGTAGCAATGTGAGAGGGAAAGGTGTCGCGCCTGGCACTGTGGTGGCGAGCCCAAGCCAAGAGGAGCCTGATTATTGGTATCAGTGTAGGTTTTACCTTGTTCACAACCCACAAGATATACTCGTGCTGATGAATGTATGACAGGGGTACGAGACGCCGCCATCACCATGGACACGCTTGTGGACATATACGCCGATGATCCATCCTCCTCTCGCGCCTCAGACATCTCCACCATTCTCGACGCATATGTCACACTCCAACGCAAGATCCAGCAAACTCCGAACCCCTCGGGCACTTTTGACAACCTCTCGAGTCTCGGCGAGCCCAAGTTTCATGTCGACGGTACGCCTTTCACAGGCTCATGGGGAAGGCCTCAGCGAGACGGTCCTGCATTGAGGTCGCTAACACTCATGCATTATCTCCGCGAATACAATGCCTCACACCCCTCGCCGTGGAACTCCAAGAAGGCTGAGGAGTTTTTCGGACAATTTTACACTGCGGAGCTGCCACCCCGCAGTGTAATCAAAGCTGATCTGGAATATGTCAGCCACTACTGGAACGAGTCCAGTTTTGACCTCTGGGAGGAGGTTGAAGGATTGCATTTCTTCAACCTCATGGTCAGTGCCAGAAGCCTGCGAGAAGGCAGCGAACTCGCCCGACTACTCGAAGATCCAGGAGCGGCAGAATGGTACGAAGAGCAAGCAGACTACATCGAAACGCTCCTCGGCAAATTCTGGAACGCAAAAAAGGGCCATCTGGTTGAGACGCTCTGGAGCAAACGAACCGGCCTAGACTGCGGTCTCCTCCTCGGCTCCCTCCACGCACTCCCCACCTCGGAATCACAAGACACAGCCATCTATCCCCCCTGGTCCGACGAGGTCCTCCTCTCCCTCCTCGCCCTCACAAACGACCAACGTGCCCGCTTCCCCATCAACAGCAATCCCACCGACGACCCAGACACCCCGTCCACGACCCCCTTTGAAGCCACCGGCCTCGGCCGCTACCCAGAAGACCGCTACAACGGCTACACGACCTCGGACTCCTCCACCGGCAACCCCTGGTTCCTCTGCACCTCGACCGCAGCCTCGATCCTCTACCACACCGCTCACCACCTCTCCCTCACCTCCCACCTCGCCATCACACCCACCAACCTCCCCTTCTACACCGCCCTCCTCGCCGCCTCCTCACTCAACGTGCAACCCGGCGTCTATGGCGCCTCGGACGCCCTGTTTCACTCCGTCGTCGAACACGTGCTCGCCGTGGCAGATGGCTTCTTGGACGTTGTGCGCAGCCATGTGGATGCCGAGGGTGCGATGAGCGAGCAGTTTGATGCAGAGACGGGGTTTTTGACGGGCGCCAGTGATTTGACTTGGAGTTATGGGGCGTTTTTGGGGGCGCTGAGGGCGAGGAGGGGGGTTGGTGGGTTGTGAGTTGTTTATGACTTTATGACTTTATGACTTTTTTTTTGGTCCTTTTTTCTTTTTCGGATGGGGCTCGACTGTGGAGGGATAGGGGGATCTTGAGAGGAGGTTATGACTGCTGTTTGGAAAAGACTGGGTGTTTGTGGTGTGCATCGAGGTATTGGCACGGGTCTTCTTTATGCCTATGCATGCTAGGGTTGGTTCGTTTGAAAAGTTGTGGGTGGGGTTTTTTGGGTTTTTTGCTTGGATTTTTGTGCAAAGATACCCTCGTTTATTACTGATTGGTATGATATGATGTATATATATATATATATATATACAAAGAACACTTTATTTCTAGAATCACCACGCCTTGATTTGTCAAAATCCGATACGCTCTGTTGTTTGGAAATCAGATGTGAAGACTTGGACGATGTTCACGATGATAGGATATAACACTATCTGATATCACTGGCACGTAGCACTTCTCCTCCCCTCTCCCCTCTCCTCACATCTCCATCCTCCATCCATCCTCCATCCATCCAACCTCCCACCCCATCCCATTCACCCACCGGGACAAGCCCGCCCATGCGCCCACGCATCTAGCACTGCCGTCGCTTCAGATGCCGGAATCTGGGGTGCAGGACCGGATGAGGGGGGTGATTTACCGGATGGCTGTGGCGGGCTAGGATGGGTAGTGTTAGGCAAGCGGCCCACATGCAGTCTACGATGGATAAGGATAAATGCTGGGTAGTTCATGTGGCGGGCAATTCACATGATGGTCTGGAGACTGACCAGATGCCACCGGATATCTGTGACGCGCACACATTTGCCTCAATCCGGTGGCAGTATTGATGGCACAAAGGCGTTCTTGAGTGGCCGTTGCGGTAGAGTGCATATTGCACATGCACGAGGTCGAGAACCTGTACCTGGACATGCAGATGTTGTTAGTGGCGAGGAGCGGACCGGGCAGCCGTCGAGGTCCGAAGGGAAGGCTTGGTTTGTGTGGAAGCGGTTGTGTGGGGGGTTCCGCCCAATCGCTCCACTTTCTTCCTTGTTGTCTTCTGATGCTCCCCCATCTACGTTAATATCTACGACATCGCCTCCAGCCTTCAGCACGCCACAACCATCATAACCCATATACCCCCCGGAATACCTGTGTGAGACCAAACGGATGGCGCCAAAAACACAGTCGGCCATTGAATCGCAGCTTTGACGTCGCTACCGTCCGCCACAGCCGCTACCACGCGGCCGAGTCTAACGCATTGTCGTAGGCTTCTAGGCCGCAGAGTCATGGTTGTGCCAAGTGCTCCTTTAACCGCGGAAGAATTCCAAAGGCGGAATCCTCGACTTGTAGAAAGGGCAGAGATGAAGGGGGCTTTTCCATCAGGGCTGTAGCGCTGTCGTGCCCCGACACCAACCCCACAGTGGCCGATATTGAAACATCTAAGAGCATGCGTCATGGCCACCACAGGGGTGCAATGTTTCAAGAGACTAGGCGAATCAAAACGGTTTTGTGGTTCTATTGTGCTCATAATGAATGGAAGCACTCAATCCAATTGGCAGATGGCCACCAACCTGTATTGTTTCTCACGCTACAGCCAAGCCGAACATATTAATTTCCCTCCGACCCTATGTCGTTTATCCTGGCTTGACTGCATCCAGATAGACGACCGTCGCATTGTTTGCAATGCCTTCCATATCCCTAACTGCAGATCCAGGGCTATGCAGAGCCCAGTCTCCCCACCTTCATGAGATCTATAAAGGCGACCTGGGGTCGTCTTTGAAACCTCCTCACCACGCTCATCAGCTCAGTCCTCACACCAACAACTCACCAGCACGGTAAAAACTCACAATGGTCTCGTTCACCTCCCTCGTCACCGCCGCTGTGGCTGCTACAGGCGCTCTCGCCGCGCCGGCCACTGATGTTTCAGTTCGCTCTCCTGGACCTCTCGTCGCCCGCCAGAGCACCCCGAACTCCGAGGGAACTCACAATGGCTGCTGTACGTTCTTTGACTCGAACTACTGAAGGAGTCAACACTGACCAGAGGCACAGTTTACTCATGGTGGTCTGACGGAGCCTCCCCGGTCACCTACACCAATGGTGCGGGTGGAAGCTACAGTGTGCAATGGGGAAGCGGAGGCAACTTTGTCGGTGGAAAAGGATGGAACCCTGGTACCGCCCGGTATGACAGTCGATCATGAAATCGACAAACAAAGATTCTAACCATGCAAACCAGTACCATTACCTACTCTGGTACCTACAACCCCAACGGCAACTCCTACCTTGCCGTGTACGGATGGACCCGCAACCCTCTCATCGAATACTACGTCGTCGAGAACTTTGGTACCTATGACCCATCCTCACAGGCCACCAACAAGGGCACCGTCACTTCGGATGGCTCCTCGTATAAGATTGCCCAGTCGACCCGAACCAACCAGCCCTCTATCGATGGCACGAGGACCTTTGAGCAGTACTGGTCTGTTCGCCAGAACAAGCGCTCCAGCGGTAGCGTCAACATGAAGACCCACTTCGATGCGTGGGCCAGCAAGGGCATGGGCCTCGGTACCCACTACTACCAGATCGTGGCTACGGAAGGTAAGAAGAACACTCCTCAATCATGTCTTGATCTTGCTTCTCTAACACTTGTACAGGCTACAAGAGCACCGGTAGCGCTTCCATCACCGTCAACTGCCCATAGGCGTTGCACGCTGTTGTTTCTCACCCCGGCCCCTGCGATGCCTCTTGTCCTGTTCAACCACCATGACAAAGTTCCCAGGAAGACACCGCGTATCGGCTCTGAGACTTGGCGTGATGAACGAAATTCTTCTGTACATATTTTTATCCTGCGTCGTTCACTACCGACTTGCGTCGTAGCAAATTCATGAACGTGCTTACATGTTGTGTTGTGCATGCAATATTCTTGATGGCCGATGGTAGTTATTGCGACCATGTATATCACACTGTTATATAACCATTACGCTGGTACTACACGTACCCCGCAAACTGCCAAGTACAATCCCACAACCTCGCCGCTCCGCCTTTCGCACATGTCCCTTCAGCCATGACTGTATCATACACGATGTTTCAAATCAATCCGAGGTACAACGTTTCCTGCACACTGTGTGGCGCTGCTGTAGACAAGGTACCTTGTTTTCTTGACCTTCCGACTCTAACTGCTCAGCGGAACATGTCTTTGAAGGATGATGTCAGATATTGTGGATATGGACGGCATCACGGCGCTGAAAGGTTCTTGTCGTGGGGTGTGGGGAGGGAGGAAGGGAGTTTGTGATGCATGGTTGTTGTTGTAGAGCTAGCCTACCGGTATGACAACGTGGATTTGCACGTGTTTCCATCCCGTCCGGCTTCATTGACCATCGTGCCTACACTTCCCAGCCAGCTCAGCTGCATAAACTCTCCACACCACCAAAACGATTCCCAACTCATGCCATTGCACCCGGGGCATCGCAACGAGACTGCAATCTTCACAGCAACTTATCCAGTCCATTCTGCATTCACAAGCGGGCCTCACGCCGTTGTCTCAAGAAACTGCAAACCCGCATAGCTAACATGGCCAACACCACACCAACACTCACCCGCATCACTCCCCTCACACCCACCCACAATCTACCCCTTCCCACCCTCTCCCCTCTCCCCAAACTCCACCAAACCCTCCATCTCAAACGCCCCACCAGATCCCCCCCGCCTCCCCTGTCCCACAGCCCGAACGCCCAGCAAACCCCCCCTACGCTCCTTGCGCGGAAAAAGATGCGTATTATACGTATGCAGCCTAGATCCCCCGGGACTGAAGCTCCGCGCATGGGTCTCAGTAAGCGGTAGAGGTGGGGGTAAAGGTAAATCCTCCCTCGAGCCTTCATGCGAGACGTTTCCGATTGCGGCGCGGATGTTGGCTTTGGATACGATGCGTGTGACACTGCGGGAGTCTTGTTGGGGAGTTTGGGGGGCTTGGGATGGGCTGGTCTGGCTGCGGGGATGGTGTATGCGGTCGGGGCTTTTGGGGGGGACGGGGGGGCGGGAGATGTCGTTGTCGTTGTTGTCGTTGTCGTCCTCGAAACCGGGCCAGGGGACTTTTTTGGGGGCTGGTGCGGGGTGGGCTACTCGTAGGGGGCCGTTGTAGGCTGTTGGTTTGATGGGGATGGGGAGACGTGTTGGTCGGGGTGTGCGGCTGGTGTCTTTGCGGGTGGTGTGGAGTTTGGTGAGGGAGATTTCGTCGGCGTATCCGTTGCCTTCGTAACTGGGTGAACGCATGTGAACGAGAGACTGCTGTGGACGTATTGATGGCTGCGGTAACGGCCAGTTTGCAGACTGTTCGGTATGCTGCTTTTCCTCTTGCATCAGGTGTAGGATGGTGCCTGGCTGGTTCTTCGGCTGACGCTCAGTGTTCTCCCTAGGCACAAGCGACTGTAGACCCCCGATGCGTTCTGGAGATCCCTGGATGAAGGGGTTCGCATTGCGGATGGAGGTGTAGACACTTAATTCAGAGACCCTGCGGTTTGTCTCAGGACGGGGCCAGGGCGTGATGACCACGGTGCTGGAGGAATCCAAAGAATTACATCGCTCGCGTCCTGGGCTTTGCTGATTCTTTTCTACTGACTGCGGAGGGCTGGGTGGATCGTCGTCTGGGAAGTAGAGCTGGCGTGTGACACCATGCAGTGGACTCTTTGGCGTCTCCCGCAACAACTGCTTCGATACCGTATGCGAGATTGAACGCTTGATGCTATCGTAGGTACGTTTGATAGGACTGCCGCTTTCTTTGTGCGACAGCTCGTGTTCTGACTGAACATTTGGCCAGCCAGTGTTGGTCTCGCTGCGTACACCCTCATACTGCACGATCTGAGGCTGTGAGCTTTGTACTTCTCCTAGCTTCTCCAGAGCCTTCCTCGCATCAGCTCGAACACGCTGCTCCGCCAACCACACCTCCATCTTGATCTTGAACTTGGGGCGCTCGACCAGCCCACCATACTGCGGATACACATTGCGGAGTTCCTTTTCCGTTTCATCGTAGTGCTTCTTCGTCAGCATACCCGGGCCATTCAAGCGCCTAGCGAACGCAGCGCTATTGCTTTCAAACACCTTCTTGGGAACCGACACCATGCGAAACGGCGTGGGCGACAACAACTCGGTCTTTGTCACGCCAATATTGTCCTCTGGGAACGCAAGACGAGACGGACACCTGCTCTCGACAAACAGAGCCAGACGACCATAAAAGCGTCGTCCTTTGACGTCATACGAAGCACGCACCGCATTTACAATCGGCACAAACACGGTTTCCCAAGCTTTGGCAGCAGCCTGGAGTTCAAAGTAGCGGAAGCCAAAGACGTTGCGCTTTTTGCCAATCTTGAACTCTTGCAGCAGCCACGCGTACAAGTGCTTCTCGTAGTTTTCACTCGGCCAGCCGCTCTTGTCGATGACGCCGTAGGTGCTGCTGTCAGGATTGTACTCGAGACTGTACCTGTCCGCGCGGGCGTCGTAGCGCATCGTGCCTTCGTCGAAGCGGGAGTAAAAGGACAATATCTCCGTGCGCGTGATACCGGTCTCTGAAGCATTCTTCTTGATCCAAGTTGCGCGTGGCAGCGAGTCAGGCCATAGTAGTAAGATGGAGTCGCGGAAGATGGACCATGGCCTGAGGAAAGCGTCGGTTGCGAGGAAACGCTCTTCTAGCGCGTCGAGGCCTTCGAGCTGTAAGAGATTGAGAGCCCGCCCCAAGTCTGCCGACAGCTTGTCCTTCTCGCTGCGTGCGAAGAACTCACGCAGACCGGTGATCGTGGTCGATGGAGGGCTCGCCATCACGTGTTTTGACTTCAGATAGCTGGTGTGAGCCGGAGAGGAAGAGTGAGGTTACGCGGGTTATGACTTACAGAAAACGGTGCCTCGCAAGTGAGGTTTTCAAGAGCAGAAAGATTTTTGCGAAAAACAGCTGCTGTCTTGATTCGACTTTATTGGCAGTGGATGTGGGTGTAGACTACGTCGTGCGCCGTACGGTAAAGACGCTTCTCATCCTACGATACTCCGTTGGCAGCCCAGTCTCTGTTCTACGCAACCTGCCCTTGTAATGATAGTCGTCCAGAAACGGTATTAGAGATAGCTTATGTGACTAAAGAAAAGAATACGTGTACTCGTGTCTGCACCGCCCATTGCTCAGATGGTCGATTGCAACGCAAACGACAGTGACGCCGCGCTAGCGAAGCTGCCTCAACAACGATCGCCCATCGTTGCAGCAAACGCTAGGTCAAAGTGACTTGGAGGTCGTCGAACGCGCCTTCATCTCATGGCCAAGGAACTCACAAACTTGGCAAGCTTGAGAGACCGTCTTCGAAGCCCTGGAGAGGGCATTGAGATGGCTACAATATGATGGATGCAAGTCCTCGCTACACGGCGCATCTTCCTCTGGTATGTTTCCGATGATGTACTCGGTGAAGTAACTCAAACATAAAATGGACATGCATTGATTGCCATGGCGGCATCACCGAGTACATCTTCACTGGCTGCCCATACTTCAGTAACCCTTCAACGACAATTGCATGAGATTTTCCTACCATTTTTTCCAGTCAAACCAGGCCAGGGGCAGTAGTTCCGATATAGTTAACCATGCGGTAATACTCTACAATCCGCGTTTCCATATCAGTAAACGGGCTGAGACTGACTTACGATATGTCTCGCAAACAATTGTTGATTCAGCCGAGGACAAATCAAGACCAAGACATGTGACAATGTCGGAAATCTTCAAGAAGTTTGCTCGAGCGTCAAAAAAGCATATAATTCTTGTCAGATTCCATCGCCCCTCGCATCGACGAGAATAAGAACCCCAGATCAATTTCACCACCCACTTCGTCCGCATGGAAGCACCAACCCCCCCAACCACGGGCCAAACACCATCGGCCCTGCTCTTCCAGTCACCGCCATCAGAGCTCTTTGAAGGCGTTGTCTGCCCTCCACCAGAATGGGCTGTCCATGACGAGTCCAATCCCCCGCTCCAACGTAGACATAGCCAATGGATAACCTTACTCTGCGGCACCAAATCCTTCCAGCTCCGCCGCGCCATGTTACAACAACACTCCATCTTCGCGCAACACATGAAGCACAACCCCCACGACACCGAGATTGAGCTAGCAGCCCTAAACGGTGACGAAGAAATGGCAGTACACATAGCCACATATCTCGAAGATCCAGACACATTCCCGTTATTTCGGTCCGCGCAATGGGGCTTCCACTACGCGTTGTATCATCACTTGCAGAAGGCTGCTCGTGCGCTGGAACTTTACGATTTACATGACTGGATCGCGGAGAAGAGATATGTGCGGGCTATCAAGACTGTTGTTGACACGACGATCGAAGAGGTTGAACCAGGTCAATTGCCATCGACGGTGCAGTATGAGGGAGATGCAGAGGTGACTGTGAATATGCTGCAGAAAACGCGGTACTTTCATTTTTGTCCCCGTGCTATCCCCACGCACAGGGTAGAGCGGGACAAACAGAATCGGTGTGGGAGGAAATGTGAGTCACTTCATGAACTTGGACATTCGCATCTGGAAGAGGAGCCGTATGTGGAGATCGTGACGGTGACGAAGAGGGTTGTGTTTGATCCTGAGGTATGCAGAAGGGTGGCTCCTGCAGAGGCAGGAGTTGACGAGTGCGAAGGAGACATCAAACAACATGGATCGTGTCAGGATGTCGAGCCATTTGTGGGAGATTTTATGACATAGTAACTCGCAGGCATGAGTCCCTGAGCGATCAAGAAGGCTCAAAACCGACTATGTTGTATGAAAATGCGATGTGCAGAGTACATTTGCGCTGGACATGAATGTAGGTTCTCTCTTTGCGTCAGGTAATCAAGTGATCAGATACCTTTGACGACTAGAAGTGGCCAACTCTAGCATGACAATAACCACAACTGTGGTATATCTACTCGCTGTTGTTCGCGTTCGTGGGTGAAATGCCTTGTGTGGTGACCTATCCATCATGGATTTCCAAGCTGTCTTCCTTCACTGCGCTGCCGTGTAACTCGGCCGGCGTTGTCTTCCCTCGTCGCAAGCCCTTCCCAACTCTCCTTTCCACGTCGATGCTATGAATAGCGGCCATGGTCGCCGCATGGACGCATAACACGTGACTGTATCGACCCCGGTCTGATCCTGGTGTATATCGTACCAATGTATGCACTAAAGGTATAGTCGGCGTCATGCTATGACCTGAAGGGGAACTGGTACCCAGCAACGATCAAATATGTACCCCAAGCAGCCTTATTGTGACGGACCTGCTCCGATAGCAGCTATAGGTGTGCCGCATGCGACTAGGAACTTTGCCTATTGTATTGTGATTGTTTTTCCCCGCATTTCTTTAGCAGCCATGGCCGGCACTCGAATCGATCATGAGCTTGGACCGAAATTAAAGTACTCTGATTGAGGTGTTGTTCTTGCATTGCGCGCCAACCCGACAGTAGCATTCAATGTATCATGACTCAACCCTTACTTTCGAGAGATGCATCAATCCCTTGCATAATCGATCTTCTCCAAGTTTGCGATGAGATGCGTGGAACTGTACCGATTTTGGTGAGGCACAAGTTTCATGTGCGACTCACTCAATAGTTCCCATCCATACTCAGGCTCGTAGGAAAGTTTGGTGACTCAGGGCTACGATCGGTGAATTTTGGAAAGCTGGATGGTGTAGACACCGTCCTATCGTGCCATTCCTCTCTTTCCTCCTCCGGTGAGGAGAGCTCCAGCAATTTCTGTGGTGATCCATGAGAAAGACCGAGCGTGTCCAATTTCTCCTGCAGAATTCCTATGACAGCCGGATTACCGCCGCGAAATCCCGCAAGAACCTGGGAAAGCGAGTGGATTAGGTCTCGTGGTCCGATACCGAAATGGGATTCGTGATTCATGGAGGGCATAATCATCATGACATCCGCGAGCGAGTTTGCAACGTCGAAAAGCTTTGATTCCTGCAGTGTTGATCAGTATCGGCTCGATGGTGTCTCGCATGTGTATCCTACCATGCCTGGGCCGTGCGCCTCGATGCTCTGTCTGGAGAGGCTACTCAGATTGCTCAAGACAGTTTGGGCAACTTTGGCAGGGAAAGAGAAGGAGAACTCTTCATTCTGGTGCTCGCTGCTCATCTTGGTGACGTTCAGCGCGTGCTGCCACAAGAATATTCGCATCCATTGCTGGGTCATGGTGATGTCGGCTCGCTGAAGTTCATTCTCCAGACTCAGGGACGCCTCATCGCAACTGAGTTGCTTTTGGGCAAGAGTAAGTGCATTGCGAGCTGTGCCAGGATCGGCGGTGATTGTGACGTCCAGAATATTGAAGAGACGGCAGAGCTGCACGAATGCAGGCGTGACAGATCCATCGTTGAGGTTCTCCAGAGGGGCCAGATCCGGAGCCCGCTTCAACATGGTTGGTACATCATGTTGCAGGGAATGTGCCCTCTCCGTGATAAACAATAGCCAGTATATCCTCAAGGCATGTTGCGTTTGCTCAGGCGTCATACTCTTGTAGTACAATGTCTTGTGCAAACCGACCATGTGTGCTTTCGTGATGGCTTCTCCAAGTAGAACCGTAGAGACGTGCATGCGGCCGACATTGGCAGAGTATACGTGGAGGAAGAAGCTGCCGAGTAACGAGTAGATTGTGACGTTCTCCATATGGTCTGACTCATTGCGTGCCTTCTTCGCCTCGGATTCAAAAGTGCCAGACGAGACGCGATAGTGACCCTCTACGGGGCTTCCAGGTTGGACGTCGATTGAGAATTGGCTCACTATGGCAGCGCAGATGGCAGTGGCAAGTGCGTACGCTTCCAAATCGTCGGGGTGGGTCAACAGACGAGCTACCAAGGTCTCGGTGTCGACGACAGGCCATATACCGTAACCTCTGGTCTGATATATCTCGAGGTATTGCGAAATGCACGAGATTGATATTCTCTGGGGCTCGCTAGTTACACTCGGGGGAATTGGACTGACTCCATCGGGCCAACCCTTCACCTCCAGATCCGGCTTGCTTAGGGATGGGAAGGGTTCAATGTAGGGGAACTCGGCAGTGACTGGACTTGCAGCGTCGAAACTGGCCTCGCTGTTGCTCCTCGAATCCTCATGAGTGCTCTTGCTCCTCTCCTGGAGTCTTCTGATGGCGGCTTCCGTCGTCCTTCGGGGTCCCTTTGGTCCAGACTTCCCATGGGTCTTGAGATAGGTACACTCCCAGCTTGCTGCTTCACATCGTGAGCAAGGCTGGTTGCCGTCACAGCGTACTTTGCGGACAGAACAAGGATCGCATGCTCGTCGAGTTCCCTTCCGCGGCGCCATTGTCATTTTTCAATCTAGGAAAACTAGCTCACGTGTTCCAGGGAGGAAGTGCTCACGCGGCGACGGATTCTGGCTTTCAATTCGTCATGGCACAGCTCGCTTGATATCCGAGGTTCCCAAGGGGTGGCAGGAATGTGGGTCGATGCAGGTACTATGTTACAGACGAAATGGGATTGCCGGGGTGACTTGGGCGACCGAATCAGTATCGATAGCGTCGGCATGCCAACAGTGAAGAGTCGAGTTGTATGTATGTATAGTAGTATGGTAGGGACAGCTTCCAGCCGGGGGGGGGGGGAGTGAGGTCAGAGGGCGGAGATGCGTCGTGCGTGCGGCTTGCTTCTCGGACGATCTTGCCTGTTTCGGGCGGGGTGGAGTGTCGGCCAATCACACCTGCGCCGGAACAGGGTCTCCTTTGCGTGCCGATGTTGGGCGGTGCACGGACCACCGATCCCTCTGGACTATCCGAAAATCTTTCCCTGCGAGAAATTTCAGAAAATCGCTCGCTCGCTCAGGCAGCAAGAAGAAACCCGACATCGCGACTCCAAAGCGAGCAAAGGTGAAACCAAGGGAAAAGTCGGTCGCATAACCTGTGTCTCGCTCCAGCCCCTGGGCTTGGGTTGAGATTTACAGTCGGCCCGTCGTGTGCTCTCGGCTACCGGACACCATCAAGAGGGAGCGAGTTGGAAAGCAGCTTTCGTGACTCGACGTCCTGGGAGTCAGCTTACCAGGTATATGGTAGAATACAGTCTAGGAAAATTAGACGCAGCTCTGAGATGGATCATCATCCTACACCTAGCATGTCCGTGTTTCTTCGGCTACACGCGGGTAGAAAATGGCAACAGAACGAGCGTGGAATCGTTGCGACAACACAGCATATAAAAAACATCACAATCCGAATACATGCGATCGAACGGGAGATGCAATCAAGGCCCCCAGCTCTAACCCCTCACCATCTCTCTGTCATCCTGCGCCCGGATACTTACACAAACACGGTCTTATATCAAATCATTGCGGACGCGGAGGGAAAAAAGAGTGGGACTGGACCCTGCGGCTGAACAATGGAAGCTGTGACGAAGCTTCCATCGGTCTTCCATCGCCAGCCCTATACCATAACCAGTCATCCTGCTGTCCACTCAGCTCCTCATACACCCGAATATGCGCCAATTATCGCGCAGAGGCTGTAGAGAAACAACAGCTGACAAAGAGGTTAACGAAGAGGAATCTTTTAGCAATTCGTATCAATTATTCACGCAATTGACGCAGTCTAGCTTGGAGTATCAACCAAAGCCTGCACGTCCTGTCTTGCACCCATCCAGGTGGAGTGACCCTGAGCTTCCCAAACTACAGGTTCAAAATAAGACTACTGGCACAGTTACAGGCTGCAAAATTCTCAAGTAGGAGAAGAAAAATGATTTTTTGATGTTGATGTTAAATCACGTGAGAGAGCTCACATCACTAACATCACGTGACACACCAAATCCGTCAACGCTCACTCAACGACTCGTATTGATCCAGTCACATACGAACTTGCAGCAGATTCCAATAGTGCGTAACACTGTACTTCATTATGGCTTACTGCACACCAAGATCATCGTCTCCCACTCTCTATGCACTCAAGTACGATAGGCGCTATATCAAATTTACTGAATGAAAAAGCTGCTCATTGCTGGAGATTGTATGTTCCGGGTTGTTTCGATATCAATAACCTTGGTGCAGATCACAACGCGGAGTCTACTGGCTGCATTGGCGCCATTAATCGCGAGAAAGAGCCGCTTCTCAAGGCTGACAAATAGGCAGGGACTTGGATACAAACTCATCCCCGTTTCTTGCATCGTTTGTTTATTGCCAAAACATTGTCCTGGCCTCCTTCCTACAGAGATTTCAGGCCCATAAGCACCGATCACCCCGTCCTGCAGGTAATATCATCCGACTCGAGAACTTCCATCTCCAATAGGCAGCACTATGACAGCCGTCGGGAGCTAGTATCCAGGTACCGGTACAGTCATGGCGTCTTTTCCCCACCTCCGAAGCTTGGTTCCGCCGTCCGCAACATTTCATCGTCCTCTTGTAGCTGACCGACCTTCCTCACTGTCGCGCGACTTTGCTCTGGTGCAACCCATTGTGCTACCGCGAAATGGTACATAAGCATCCCGAGCCAAGTAAAGGCAAGCTGCTCTCGTCAGCCCACTCACAAATCTTCACCATCGGCGTTATCACTGGTTAATGAAACTCTCATCATGACATTCAATCGTAGATTCCTCATGCTCATGCGACCAACATCTCCAATCTACTCGAGCAGCTTGATGTACACTTCCACGTAGTCTGGATCAGTCGTGAATGTCTGCGTGGTCTTGAGCTCGAAAGCATGCCTCGCGAAGAAGTAGGATCGTGCTTCATAACGAGTGTAGTGTTCAATACCGCTAAAGATGGTGAGTGCTTCCAGACTAGTACGCCTATTGACTCCAAGGCTACTCTGGCTCCCGAATCTTTTTGAGGTGGCATTGACGAATGATCACGAATCATGACGTTGCCGTAGCTGTTGTGCGGTCTATTGCAAATTTCCCAAGTACCCTACCAATTTCAGTAAGTGGAGAGTAAAGCTGCAAAGAATCCGACGGGTTTGCTGTTGCCGCGAACGCGTTTCATAGGTACCATCGCTTGTGCTGCCCTCTGACTCTTAGCTAGCGATTTTGACACCAGATATCTTTAAGCGGTACCTACCGTACCGATAGAATTTGCAAGAGTTGTAGTAGTTGACAGTTCCAATACTTCTTGCATGTGTTAGCACACAACGCCTACCCATGCACCATGATGAGCTGTCTGTATTACCTTGTTCCAAGGTTTGAGGCGACACAGTTCACGTGATTTGCTGCAGAACGGCTGAGCACTGTACGTTATATACAGCGTGCGGACGTATGAGGAGTATAACGTCAATCACAGAGCCCTCCACATTTAGCTCAAACTTACCAACAGTTGCTGAATTGACTCATTGTACAGTAAGGTAGCCTTCAGTACCCCACACAGACTCCAGAGTCGCTCCTCATCTCGATCACTCTACTAATTGTGTGGAACATGTGCACATGGTGTGTAATTTCCAAGAACCTGTTCTATCCTTAACTCTGCGTCACTAACCCATCAAGATTATTTTTGCTTGAGAACCCCTTCGGTAGCTGCAAATTACGCCTGCTTCCTCCATCACCGTCTGCCATCTCCGTCCCCCGCCCACTCGAAGAACGGCGAAACATATCTGTCGGCCCTTCCATTTGTGCCAATATCCGCAAAGTAGGAGACCTAAAATCCCTTTGCGAAGTAGAAAGCATAGAAACTGGCGCATTTATACGAGCAACTCTCGTCTACATTGATGACCACGGTAAAACATGGTTTGGTCAGACAGCTGACAAGAGGACGTATGATTTGACTGTCGAGGATTTAAATCGACTCCTGGAACCAGTCCCACACGAAAAGATATATCCGCTGAAGACTGCTACTCTATCAGTAGTATCGGAGGAAAATCTAAGCAGGCCCTATATCAAGTGACCTAAATTGTTGTTTCTTGATGACGAGGAAGCGGCAAAGCTCCTACCCCGAATACTACTTGAAGAAGCAGAGATCTTACAGTTCCTCGAACAAAATCCTCATCCAAATATTATCAGGTCCTACGGCTGCACCGTTGAGCGCGGTCAAATTACTGGTATCGCCCTTGACAAGTACAGTGTCATGTTACAATACCGCCGCGAGCATGTTCCACATCCTCTTGATATTGGGGCTTGCATGCGCGGTATCCGTGCGGGTATAAAGCACCTTCATTCTCTTGGACTTGCGCACAACGATCTCAATCCAGCGAACATTGCTATGGATGGCGACGACAACTCAATCATTCTAGACTTTGGGTCTTGCAAAAGGTTTGGTGAGAACCTCCTTTCAGGAGGTACATATGGTAGGGTAGACGAGGATTACACTTCATCAGCTCCACACCACGATGAAGTCGCTATCGGAAAAATAGAGGCATGGCTCAAAGCACCAGTGACAGATGAGGCATGAAGAATTGCTTTGCACGCAAGTGTTGTGTTGCCCGTGGGCTGCTTATATGTTGAAACCTATTCGTGTAGCTTCTAGAAGCGTCCCGATAGGTAGATCCTAGTTAAAATCCAAGAAGCGCTTTGTGGGCTCAAGTACAGACTTCTGTGCATGCCCCCTCCTTAATCCCTCTTTCCAAAATCGTTGCCATCGATTTGCGCAAACTGTGAGCAATTCGTAGTGTGTTCAAGACGTCGGTTTGGGTTGCTGTCAGACATCCGGCAGGTTGATATCCCGCAATCGTCTCTGTGAATCTCTGTTCGCGTCCTTCTACGGCCCTGTGCATCGTAATAGACGACAATCACAGTCATCATCGTGCACCTCCCTTGATGTTAATGAGATGCGCTGTAATGGAACATGTATTACTCACATTTTTGATAGGACTGCACTGTAAATGTGCAAAAAGTTCTTGGAAGCTTTCCCGAGGCATGTGCAGTCAGACACTTACTATGTATGTAAGATTCAAATGGCACTTAGGTTACATATCTAGCCCTGCTTTTACGGTACGACATGACACGTCGCATGTTACCCCTTGCCATTGATCCCAATTGGGCAATCACATTGCGGGATGATATAGCCACGCGCTTTGGTCACCTATGAGACCTACATTCAAGTATATCACATCCTCACACAGTGCTCACGGAGTATGTCCTATGACTCGACCGGTCACAAATCACTCTCTTGTATTTCACGCTTGTCACGCAAGCAACGGACAAACCTATCATGAACAGGATGGGCCTCAGTTTTCCATTTAGCCTCCGGGTATTCCAAGCTCAAGCACCGGGAAGAAGTTGTGTTGAGTGAAGCAAGAGCAGACATTGGTTTTCATAAGAACTCACAGTTGCATGAGTATTACCAAAGTGTATAGGTTGGTACCATAGTGTTCCCACCATCTCATTTGTTCAGCAAAATCCTCTTCCCCTTTCTCATCTCGTTTTTCAACTCTCTGCTTCATCCATGAGTTGTCATGGCCCTCCTTTACTCCCTATCGCATACAAATCTATGATAGAGCGCCCTCCCCATCCCAAAAATGCCCTTCAAAATCTTCACTATGATTATGGCCAGAGTCAATGTCCGCTTCGACGTATTTATGCTCCTCATCTCAATGATCCTATTATATGGCTACGATGTTCCCCATACATCTTTATGTACCAATAGATTCTTCCGTAATCTTGCCCACTAATCGTGTATCCTATTACCATGTATGAGTAATCTCTCTTAATCGAATTCCAGCCGGAAAGCCTGCCGTCAGTAGCTATCAAAGGTAGCTTGCATTGTGCAGGACCTCTGTTTTAAAATTGCGTGCTTTGATATGGGTTATCACTGCCCTCATCATCTAATTTATGATTATCATTCTTAGGGGCATGTCTCGACGAAACCGCTGAACTCGAGTGCGCTTCTACTTTTGGAGGCTTCAAGGAGACCTTTGTTGTTCGCGTATTGCAAATCACCGCCTGCAAAAATACTACTTCTACTGTATCTTACCTTCGTTTTTTAGCCTTCTAGCTCTACAATACAAGGCTTTAAAAGGTAGTAATAGAGTTACAGGAAGCATTTCTTTGCAACAGCTATCATATAATCAATTAAACCAATTATCCATTTACCAAATCATCCGTTAGCTCCAGGCTGGTTGTCGGCACGACGTACCTACCAGTAACGCCGAGCTTCACTCGCCACCGTGCTGCCCAGCTGTGGGCTAGCTGTTTCACCTAATCATAACCACCTTACGCTGCAATAAGCGCCATACGACAATCTCAGTGGAGTGACTCCAGAAGTAAAGCAGTTGCAATAATCTAACAGTCAGAAAATCACTTACAGTTCTATCTTGAGAGTCAACGTGCAGTATTGCACTCAGCATCTTCCACAATGAGCCATGCACCTCCACCTCCGCCTCTACCTCCGCACTTGTTCAGATCACAAAGGCCGGCGAGTATAGTACCCCCACCACCTCCAGTGTCTTCTGGAGCGTTTGAGCCTATACACAAAGAACACTACTGACAGTTCCTCAAGGACACGAAAGCAAATATGCCTGGTGAACCTTTCCAGCCATTCCATACGCTCTTCTACGGTTCACTTATGGATCCTGAAGTCCTCCAAGCAATTTCTTGATCTTCCGGAACTCCCGACTACAAAGCCTGCTACTATTTCTGCATTCCGGATTAAAATGTGGGGCATATACCCAACATTGATACCTAGCCACGGTGGAAGCGTGACTGGGACTGTGTGGAAGGTGACCTCGGAAGCCCACTTCGACCGTTTAGCAGCTTACGAGACTGCTGCTTACAGATGGGACGAGTGTGATGCAGTTTTAGAAGATGGAGAGATTCTCGGGAACTGTCGGACGTTCTGCTGGGCAGGGGAACCAGATAGCAAGGAACTTGAAAAGGGTAGTTTCGATCTAGAACGCTATCAGAAATACTTCAAGCCTTCCGTCACTAGGCGGCGGACGCCAGTGCCGTCAAGCACGGTTTAAAATGGTGGATACAGTGCTTAATATACGCTTCTCTTAAGCAGGACAAATATGATTCGAAACTTCTTCTGCGCTGTTAATCTATGCGGCTATGTTTTCGAAAAGTCGTAATCTGCCTCTTCCTTGTAATATTCACCGAATTTGTTTACTTTCTTGCTAGTTTATATTACGAACTGTCCGGTAATGCCCGGACTGCAGTCAGACGACACATTGCGGCGTGGAATAGCCACGCGCTTTGTCCGACTATGTCACATACATCCACATGTATGTTGAATCCTGGTACAGCAGCCTACACTACTAAGATTAAAGGCCCATATTTCCATGACTTCTCGTTAGCCACTACTCTTTGCAGTAGAATATCGTAGACAGGATTTCATGCACTTTAACAAAGATCCTAGGCTTAGAAATAGAAAAATGTAGTATTGTCACTGTAAAGAACTTAAGAAGGTTAATAAAGTGTAATGTACGATAGGTGTTTGTGGTGGAATAACGAAGTCTAGGAGTAATTTTAGCAAATCAATCATTATATTAAAACTATTAGAATAGAGCTCTATGTAGACAGCTCCTGCTTAGCTATTAACAAGATTAACAATTAATATACCTATCTTGATACCCACTCATTGTCTGCTAGGAATGTAGCGTTCTGGGTTGTATAAGCTAGCAGGACTTATTAATAACTTAGCAGTAGATCTACTAACAATTAATAGATTAATAAGGCAGTTTTAAGGTGCTGCTTTAAAATTTTGTTTAAAAAAAAGATCTGCACAGTTATTCTATCAACAACCTTCACAAACGTGCTAAAAATAACCATTTTTCTCGCCATTAAGTCCAAGCATCTTCCTCGAACCAGACCTCGAACATGGCAAAAAAAATAACCCTGGAGTATCTGAACAATGCCAGACGAATGCTGATGAGAGTGGGACTCGAACCCACGCCACTTTCGTGACCAGGAATAATGTGTTAAGATAACCTTAACCTGGCGCCATAACCAACTCGGCCATCTCACCATATGATGTTTTGATGAAGTTTCAGACAAATTATTGGGATATAACGCTACTAAAGGTCCGGTGAAAGCATGCTGGGAGGGGGATATGGTATATCTGGGTGAGGGGCATGATGGGGTGAGGGGTAAAAGAATTTTCACAAGCGGACCGGCGATCTTCGGCGACATTATCATAGAGGACTCCTACTCTACGCAGCACATAGTAGTTCTGATATTTAGAGACTCATAGAAATTATTGGACAATATTGACTTGCTAGAACATGAGACTGATTGATATTTCTAATAGAAAAATGGGCATGCATATTGCGCTACGCTTATAGACACACTGTCGACGACTAGACATGAAGACCTGTATATAAAAATCCGATCGTTGATATTTCGGAACAATGTTCATAATTTACTCCTGATGGCCAATGGCTCTGGCCTCCACATTTCATTGAGCAGTCGACTGGCATTAACCATCTCCGGCCGACATTGATCAAGCGACGTGATTCCCAGCAATCGCATACCCGTCTGAAGCTCCTCTGCAAGTACTGTTGGACATTAGTCTCATATCCTTTGTCCTTTTTCACGTGAAAAACTTACTGTCAACGCATCGTTCCACTCCCTTCGCCCCGTACGCGCCAAGTGCATACAGGAATGGCCTTCCGACACCCACCGCGGTCGCTCCTAGACAAAGAGCTTTCAATACATCGTTTCCATCCCTCAGCCCACCGTCGACGAAAATCTCGAGCTTCCCAAGTACTTCTGGGGAATACGTTCGAATTTCCAATAGGGTCATGAGCGCACTAGGTGCAGTGTGTAACTGGCGTCCACCGTGATTGCTGAGCAGTATACCATCACACCCATACTGCATCGCTAGTTTGGCATCCTCTGCACATTGGATACCCTTCAGTACGATGGGACCTGTCCACTCTTTACGAACCCATTCGAGATCTTCCCACGTGGTATACGGACTCAATTGACCTTGCACTGGTCGGCCGCCCATCGCTGGTGCAAAGTCGTTGTCACCACCGGCCTCGAAGCCTGCTGTGCTCTGCTCTTCGATGCCAACCGCTAGAGCTTCTTCCGCTTGTAGAGATCGATCTGCAGTGCGCTTCCCAAGCACGGGTGTATCGACTGTGATCCAAAGACCCTTGTAACCGGCGCGCTTTGCAATGTTCATGAGCTCAATGGCCTTCTTCCGGTCTACAGGCATGTAGAACTGGAAGAAGAGTTTAGTAGGACTTCCATTCTTGAGTCTCGCCTGTTCGTCGACGTAGCTTTGCATGATTTGCTTGCTACTCTTTGTACTCGCTGTACTAACAACGACGTGAGCACCTTTACGAACAGCACCTACGATGAGTTCAGGCTCTGCACCAGGATGTATCGCGCCGAGAGTGCCCATTGGCGAAATGTAGAAGGGATGCGGTGAGCTGTAGCCAAAGATCTTTCGTCGTGTGTCTACATCGCCTACATTGCGCATGACCCGGGGACGAAAGGTGATGCGCTCCCAGTCGTCGAGGTTGCCTCTCAATGATGCGCCTGTATTGGCTGATCCTGAGGCATAGATATATGACTTGTGCGGCAACGCTACTTTTGCTGCTTTTTCAAAGTCTGTCGTCGAGACACAGAGACTGACATGTGGGACCTCATTGGACGGCTCAGCGTCAGAAGGGCCTGTTGTCGTTTCCGGCTTTGGCTGTCGCAGGTTACCAAAAGTGTTTGGATCTATTGGTCCAAGGTCTGCATCGGGTGGTAGGTGATCCTTGAGGTAATCAAGAGAGTGGTATTTCTTGTACTCTGTCGTTGCATCCTGTACTTGATCAGCCAAACTTCTGTAGTTTGATAACCTCCTAACTACTTACCGTGCCGGCGTTGCGTAGTATGATCGCCGCACCACCAGGATGCTTTGACAAGAAACTGGTGACGTCATACGCCTTGGTCTCTACTACGATCCAGCAGCTATTTTTATCAGCATGCTTTGCAACCTCCGCTCCATCGAGGTATGCCATTTTCGATATCCGATATGGGCATTCGAGATTGGGGAATGCGGAGGCCAATTATGGGAGAAGTATTTGAGGGGCAACCGCACTAAACCGAAAATAACTCAACTCGAAGCTCGGGGGAAATGCCGGCAATGAGGCGGGTGAGCAGCTGCCGAGGCAATTCTTTGGCTAACCTCCCTTGTAACTGTTGCTGACTGCACCGAATTGTCTCAAATGTAAGTGTTTATGTAGGGATAGAATGTGGGGACGTATCCTGGTTAGGTGTTCCCCCTGATCGAAGATTAGCTGAGCCGTTGGTGTATCCAGATTTCCGAACTTTTTTCATTTTGGTTTAACTTAGCCAATTTGGTAGATAGATAGTACCGGTAGTAAAGTGATGCCTATCATTCTACACTTCGGCTGTTCTTAACAATGCTACCATACCACGAGTAAGCATCGTCATTGCAAGTTTACACCCAGTTCTCTTATACGACATACTCTGTTTCCGAATCTGTATTCAATTAGAGCAGACATTGACCGATCCATGTAGTCGTGACAGGTTGTCGCTCTCCAGACGTTGGTTTGTGAGCAACATTCTGACAGCGCACAGCAATTTTTACGGGGCTATTATGCCCCATGGCGGCAGTGCAACCTTCGGTATTATGATTTCTGCCGTTGTCAAGGTTCAGGTAGGGTGCCAGTCGCCGCGACCATTCAGATGCTGATGAGCAGATGTCGCAAAACTGGATGGATCATTCGCAACCATCATGCTTCTGGGCCCATAACTTCCCCAGGCTGCTGCTAAATATCAAGCAAAAGTGCAGGCCTCAACATGCTGTTTTACGTACACCAGGGCGTTGGTACCGAAGGCTGGGCGATCGATGACAACGGTGTCATCGGGGTCCGACCGACGGACGGCCCACTTTGTCGGGTTTGAAGGAGCAGACTAGGTAGTCGATAGAGTTTGGATCCTGGATTTCTTACTTGGGTTGATTCTATTGAAGATGCTGGCGTTGTACACAGGCGGGAAAGGCTCCATTTTCCTTCTTCTGTCGCTGTTACCTACCGGTAGTGCAGCGACCAAATCAGCCCCTTGGGTAGATCTGACAGCTGCCGACACTAGGTAACTGATGCGTCGTCATCTACGATACTCGTTGTTCTCAGGCACAACCGAATACCCTAGATTGCATCCAAATCACGCTGTGACGCAAAGGAAACACGTCGGGTTATTTTGAAGCTCTTGGCAGTCCTTACCGGTAGTGCTTTGGGCAACGGCTTCGCTTGCGCAGCGTTCCGGGGGTTGGCCTAAGTTGATGGGGAAGCTGTGAATGTCCATTGCTCAGTGACACGACTACACGAACCACAACCACGCTCCAAACACAAGTCTCAGTCATGTATGGTGGTGGAAGACAATGCGACAAGAAGGCGGACCGAGGCTCCGTAATTGCCGCCTGTTGGCCCGTTGCGAGCTCTTGAAGAAATCCCGAGCGCGGCGGAGTTGTGCGACGCTTCTGCTGCACGAGCGGAGTGCGGCCGCGTCTCCGTGACACAACCCCCCGTCACATGGGCCCTGCTCCCTTGAGGAGCTGAAGGAGAGAGGGAAAGTCGATGCGATGCGCATAGCCTTGTCGTTGCAGAGATGTGCGAATGAAAGAGGGAGCTGTCGATGGTGCCATGCAGCGTGTTGCAGGCGATTGGTGAAGCTCCAACCGTCTGGAAACTGTGTCGTGCCTACGCCAGCGCTTCTTGCGGAGGCAGGAAGACACGATTAGTCACCCTGGATGGTCTGTCATCGCAATGCCTGACATGCTGTAAAACAATCACAAATCTCGACCTCCGCACTGCTTGCCATTCTCACGAGCCTGTCTTGCGAGAATCGTGCATCCATCGACCGTCCTCGACGTGCCAATACGGAATCATCACCATCCGGCGCGGAGCCCTCGACAACCAAGTCTCGACATGTGTCCCTTTAGTATATCAAGCCCACCCAGCCCTCGAGAGAATCACATCGCTAACAGGAGCAAAGCATCATTGCCCGCTGGCGAAGGACCTGCTACCTTCTCTCCGACCGCCGTCAAGGACTGGCAGCCTCGCCGAAAGTCTGTCTCCAATGCCTGTGAACGTTGTCGCCGACGCAAGATCAGATGCGATGGAGAAACACCATGCGCTACGTGTAAACGATTCACATTGCAATGTGTGCGAACACAAAAGCCACGAGAGGTGGTGGCCTCGTCAGTGCACACCCGTGTCGCGACAACGCGCCGTCACGTGACCATTACTGATGTCCATTGACCAGTGAACATCGGGAAGCATTAGAAGGCCGAATAAAGCAGTTGGAATCCCAACTTGCAGCACACGTAAATGCACCCATGCATGGTATGGAACTCATCGACCAGAGTCTGATGGCGTCTACTCCTACTTCATTTGACTGGCAAAGTCCACCACCACATCTCAACCTTGACACGAGCATTCCTGCCTCATTCACAGCGGACGATTTGGATCTTGGCAGCTTCTCAGCGAGCAGCAGCATGCCTTCTATTGCTATCGATCAATGTGAGCCTTTCCCTTCACCGGCACCGAATTCTCCAGTACCTTCATTATGGTCAGGTACCACACGGGCCTCGAGTCCTGACATGCCCCCAACCTCCGTCCCAACCCAGTACGCCAACCGACCGGCCTACCCACCCACTATGCAATCATTTGCGTCCCCCATGGAATCCACCACCGCCGAGTCCTGGGAATTCATGAATCAGGCAAGTTCGAGCCTCTTGCAGCCAGGCACTACCAGCAGCAAAGGCCACTCCAGACGAACCTCTGCTTCCTCCCTATCCCTGGACAGCGACGAGCAAGCCATGTCGCCCATCCCCGAAGTCGAAGACGACATCTTACCCTTGGCACCCGTGCCCCGCCTCCCTCGACAAGGCATCTTCGCCGCCCGCCAAACCGAGAGTCCCGGCCCCACCTCGTCGCGCTCCAGCTTCACCGACCGCGGCCGCGCGCTCGCCACAATCCCCCTCCCCAGCCGCTTCGAAGCCGAAACGCTAACCATGGAATTCATCCACTGCCTCGACACCATCGACTTTGGCTCCTACACCCTCCCCCCCTCCCTCTTCACCCAGTTCTGCGAAGCAGTCTACCCTAATCCCCAGCGCTCCTCTGCCGCCCCCGACATGCCCGCCTCCATGCCCATGGCGCGCTTTCACGTCTTTCTCGCAATGGCCGTCGCAATGAAGGTTCGTATCAAAGACTCCCCCGAGCCGACCAATGCTCTGCTAGATACGTGCTATGAGTTGGCCATGCAGCAAGCTGCTTCCTCTACCTTTTGGCACGAGTTTGGCGGTGTCGAGGCCGCACAGCTTTTGTTGGTTTTTTCGGCGATTCGCAAGAATACGGCGGCGGAGCCCAAGCCGCTGCAGCAGTCGTTCTCGTGGTGACATGAGGCAAGAGAGAGTCTTCTTTTTTTTTCTCAGTCACCCTTGTGCTGCTTTTACTTTTCAATGTTTGTTGCATTTTTGGCGGGGTGGGAGGGTATGATTAGGTAGGCTAGATGCGCTTTATACACCATGCGCTATCTTGCTTCGTCTGCAATGTAGATCAGCCTGTTAGGTTCGTAATATATTCACTTGACAATCATGGTTAATCTGCTAACCGTCCGCAAAGGGTCTAAATGGCTAATGCTCGTCACACAGAAAGATTGCACTAGTAACAGATGATCATGATGAAGCCTTTTTTTCCCGCTGTTCATGCGCTCAACGCCAGCCATGCCCTATGGTACACTCTAATAGTCATTGAAATTACTCTTCTCGAAATCCTCACCACTATTTCTTGGAATCCTCCTTCGCCTTCTGCGCAAGCTTGGCCGCCTCGTCGCTCCTCTTCTTGAGAATCTCTGTTATCTCAGAGACAGTGCTCTTCAGGATGTTTTGTGCCTCGTCGCCATGCTTCTGCGCAGCCTCCTGGAGTTGGCTCAACTTGGGCATGATCTGGTCGGCGCCGGGAATCTTCTTGATGTACTGCTCGTAGTCACCGAAACCAGCCTCTTTGGCCTTGTTTGTGGCGCTTTTGATGTAAGATTCCAGATCGCCGGTATCACCTTTCTCGACGGCAGACTTGACACGTTCATAGAGCTGCTGGACGTTACCGCCCTTGAGCGCATCGGCGTTCTCTTCAACAAGCTTCTTGACCTGGGGGTTCTTGTCGAGGTAGGGCTTGGCCTGCTCCATACCCTTGTCCCATGCCTCATCACCAAGCTTCTTGAGCTTGTCGACCTTCTCTTGTACAATGCTCTTGATCTTCTCAATGTTGGATGCGCTTAGGCCAGTTTTGACGACATCATTGATCTGCTTCCATGTCCTGTCAACCTCCTTCTTGGCCTCGGGACCGTATTTGTCACCGTACTCCTTCAGTTTATCGATGTTGCCGCCAACCTTCTCCTTGAGCTGGGGGTGATTGTCCATGATTTGTTGCGAAGCATCGCCTGCAAGCTCCCCAATGCGGCTCATATGCTTGGTAATGACATCCCAGGTCTTGTGTGCGGTGACCAGGCTCATGTCGCCCTTGTCGAGAATTTCCCGCATCTCATCATAGGCCTCGCGGACAATCTTGTCGACCTCATCGCCGTGCTTTGCGCGAATGGCGTCAAGGTCGTCAAAGGCCGAGTCAACGTAGCCCTTCGCGCCAGGGATGAAGGCAGCGTAGCTCTGGGCGGCATTGCGCAGCCACGCGAGGGCTTCATTCGGCTCAGGTGTCTGCTCCTTGATTTTTGCCGTGGCGCTGTTAACGTAGCTCTTCGTAGTCTGAGCGGCGGAAACGACATCGCGGACACCAGACTGCCTGTATGCAATGTAGCCAACAACAACGGCGGCCGCAGCACCAGAGACGGCACCGACTGCTGCGTGTGTTCCAGCGCCAGCGTTGCTAGTGGAGGCTGGGCCTGTTGATTGGAATCGGGCCTGTTGAGCGCGGAATCCGGGGTTTGCTGCACGTGCAGCCGGGCGGCCTGCGCAGCGGGCGGCGAAGCGCGCATTTTGGGTTGCTTGTCTTGAGAACATTGTGAATCGTGATGTTGTTTTGTCGGAAGACTCAATTGATGAGGAGAGGATCAATTGTATTGGAATTGGGTATTTTGGAAGAGGGCAAGGTGTGATGTTTACAAGTTTGCTTGGGAAATGCAGATCTTTAAAGGAAACTGCAAGCAAGAGTTGTGCGTCCAGCATGACGTCGCCATGATGATGTGCAGCGCTAACCAGATGTGGCTTGTGAAGCTAGATCTGATACACAACACGTCATTGGTTCACTTTATTTAAGCTTATCCCCGCATGTTCTTTACATGTGAAGGCATCCTAGCACGGCAATCTTCAAGATTCCCGTTCGGCGTTCTGCAAATGTTCACCCATGAAGTCCTCAGCCTCTGCTTCAAGTAGGCACCGGATCGTGTCTATGTCATGTTGTGATAGCCAGAAACTTTAGGATATATGCTGGCTGAGAGTATGCCCCAGACTTGAATTGTTTTGGTAGGTATATCGCATCCAGCATTACAAACCCGCTTAAAACTTCCAGCCTTTCTTATAGCCCGGCCATGCGGCCGCAACCTCCCCCTCCACGCTCAGAGCCCAGCTCGGATAGTTTGAGGCAGCATCCACCAGCAGTCTCTGTAGATTCCTACTCAGCATCTCCTCATCCCTTACATGAGATCCCGCCCCATCCCAAAGCATCTCACATGCTTTATTGAATGCTACATGCCAGGCATCGCCCCTGTCGCGGACCTCCACATGACCAGCAGCGAGGAAATAGTAGTGGCAGAGCGTCTTGAGCTCGGGAAGCTTGGGACGCGGCTCGTCCACACGCACCAGCAACCGCCAGAAGCCTGCAAATTCTATGTTTGGAATTTCAGCGTTTGGCAAGACACCCTCAGGAAGACAGATCTTGATATGGGAGGCATCATTCAGGCGTGCCGAGACTTTATACCAGATACCTCGGCGCTTGATGTGCCCGAGGAATAGCGAATGCTTGGAGAAGCCAACCCTGTTGGTATCGACGGGCTCCCAAGGGGCATTTGTCCAGTGAATATTCGGCTCCACGGGGTCGGAGTAGCGATCGATCACAAGGTGGAAGTTCTGGCTTTTCGTGGCGGCACCGTTGGTCATGGTGGCGGGCGTTATCAGGGTAGGTAGAGTGCGAAGCGAATTTGGAAAGATGAATCTTGTCGCTTTGATGAGCAGTGTTAAGAATAAAGAGAAAGGAAAGAGGAAGTAAGAACATCCTGAAGCCTTTTAAGTATGCAGATCTCGCTCTGTGCTTGTAGACTCATCTTTACCGGCGATTTCTGATCAGTGACTGTGTCGAGTATGGCTCGTGCTTTGACAAACACTGGGTCATCACGCAACGAGGAGCTCGCAATACCTAGTCCACGCATTCTGTATACTCAAGCAGTTTAAGAATTTCAGCAGTATAACGAGTCTGAAGATCACATATAAGCTTACCGTATCAACCTGACGAGCTCAAATAACACTGTCCAGAGCCATACCAACCCAAACACCCACCATTCCTCCCCAGATCTTTCTCGAATATCGCACAATCCGTGTCATGCTTGGTCAATGACCTGATAAATTTCTATGTCCAACTCGTGAGTCATCAAATTCCGACCCTTGCCCCCGCAGCATTTATACGTGAGGCCACAACCCCATGCACCAGGATCCAGAATCTATCACCCAGAGATCTGAGAATACAACTACAGTATACATGTATCCTAATATTGGCAATACAATCATCGCAACACCAAAGTGAGATTATCTCGCAGGTTCCATACTCAAGCCATTCAACTCTTTGCGGCCTGCTCGCATTGATACGATTCTTCCGCTTGCCCCATTTTTTTTGAGAGGGGGAGTGGGGGGGGGGGGCTTTGAAATATGAAAAAGATTTATACCTACACTTTCCCACAACACGTCCAACCACCCTCAAGAAAATACACCGTTATACAGGATCCACCCCAGACCGGTCATATTGCGCCATTCACTCCACACCAACACACCTATCAAACAATTCTACCACCGAAAACCCAGTACCCATCGGTACCACACGGTATCCATCAAGGTACCCGCCCCATCCCTCCCCACCCCAAGCCGCCAAGATCACATACCTATAACCACCACGCAACACCCCACTCCGCCCCGCGTCCTAGCTAGCAGAAAGCTTATTGTAACCGCATGGTGCAGGCCCAGGATATGTATGCGTATGTCCAACTTTGTTCCGCAGCGTCGTGCCTAACAGTTCATGTGGATGCGATGTCGTGCGTATGCTTGCCCAAAAGGGGTACATTCGAGATTCGGTGATGCAAGTGCTGGGCTGGGGTGTGGGCGTATTGCTGTGTGGAGAGAGGGAGAGAGGGAGAGAGTGTGTACGGGTGTGGAGATGAGATGGTGGAGTGGTGTGGGGAAGGGTTGGTGTGGTAAGTAGTAACAAGCGACTGTGAATAGTACAGATCCAATAGCGCTGTGGTATGGTGGGGAGTGTGTTAGGTGAGGTGTTATAGCGAGGATATGGGCGGAGATGCAAATATGTTTGTCGGAGGAGGTGAGGGAGGGAGGGAGGGAGGGAGTGACATTCAAGGATTGGAATACACGTCACATATCCCCGCATCACTGCATAACCACAGGCCACAATATATATATATATATACATATACAGCCAAGATACCCGGTATAAAAACACGGCCATCTCTCCATCTCCTCAGCAGTGCACAATTACAACTTCTACAAAGCACACACACATACAGACGAACCCCAAAAGTGCATAAAGGGGTGCTGATAATATACATCTATTCACATGCAAGCTCAAACTAACAATCATGGTATCATCTCTTCATCTACCTCCTCATTCCCAAGCAAGCCGCTCGTCTACAAAAGATTTTTACCCTGTCCGCAAGGCTGGCCGTGATGCGCATGTCCTCCGTCATCCAGACGAGCCATCAAGCGGCTCGTCTCAGCATGTCTCTTGCGCAGGGTCGAGTTTGCCTTGGGTATACCCTCGAAGCTAAGCGCGTACTTGGCCACGCTGTTTGCAATGCTCTGGGTATTGATTAGGTAGGCATCATGGTCGAGGTTGTCAATGTCATCGCAGGGGCGGTGGTAACAAGGGTCGAGGGGCTGGCCGGCCTCGCCGCCGAAAAGACGGGCTTCCTCGTCAGTCTTGATTTCCTCGGCGCCGGTGAAGAGGCCACCAGAGGCGATGCCGTTCTCGAGGAAGGCGGCGTAGTCGGAGCGGAAGGAGAAGAGCGAGGGGACGTGGTTGAGGCCGCGCTGCTCGTAGAAGATTTCAAAGTCGCGCTCAATGGTGTCGGAGCCGGCGGGGCCCGTCAGGTTGAAGGCATCGCCGTTGCCATCGTAAATGCCGAGCACGTAGTTGGGCGAGGCAATCATGTCGAAGTTGAGGTAGGCGCGGATCTTGGCGGCTTCAGCTAGGCTGCCACCGAGGGAGCCGTTGATGGTCTTCATGTAGTAGTAGGATCCCAGTTTACCAAACTCTTCTGCGCCCCAGAAGCCGAGACGGACAGCATTCGTGATGTTGAACTCGGTGAGGGCGAGGGCAGTGACGAGGGTGCCAATAGTGCCCGATCCATCGTCGTTGATGCCAGGGCCGGCGAAGACGGAGTCAGTGTGTCCACCAATCATGAGGACATTGTCGTGGTCACCTTGCTTGGTCTCGGCGATGACGTTGTAGTTTGTGCGGTTCTCGCGGATGGCGTTGATGGAGAGGGTGCCTGCGACGGTGCCATTGCCAACCTGGGAGAGGAGGTTGTTACCGACCTCTTGGGTAACTCCTACAACGGGGGCATAATTGCCGTCGCCACCGAGCGTACCGGAGAGGGGCTGGTTGGGTATGTTGTTGTAGATGATGGCACCAGCAGCGCCAGCAGATTTGGCGTTGGTGGCCTTGATGCCAAAGGTGCACTCACCGCGCGAGATGAGGGCGATGTTGCCAGAGACGCCGGCAGGGAAGTCAGAGGCATTGCAGCCAAGAGCATTGACCTTGACGAGGTTGCCGCTGACTTCGCCAGATGGGCCAAAGGTGAGATAGTCGGCAGCAATGTCTGCGCCGGCGACGGTCGCCTTGACGGTCGCAGCCGTAAACAGCTCAACGAAGGGCTGCTTGTAGACGTCGTAGTAACCCGTCTCCTGCAGAGTCTGGAAGAGCCACTCGGCCGTCGCATTGTGGCCTCCCCCACCAAATGCGCGGTTTCCACCGTTCTCATCAGCGAAATCTTGGAGTTTCTGAGAGCCGGCGATCAAGTCTTCGAGCTTGATCTTCTTGATCAGCTCATTGGGCGAAACAAGCTTCTTGTTGCTTGGCTCCGGCTTCGCGTCGTACTGGGCGAGCACAGGCGCAGCAAGCGCAGCGTATGGGGCCCACTTCATCTTGTACTTGCAAAGAGTGAAGGAAGAGAGAGAGCGCGCGGGGTGAGAAGGCTGTGGCACGTAGAGTATACTGGAGGTCCATCCAGTCTATATACAGATTCCAGGATCCATGGAGTCGGTCCAGGATAGTTACCAGAACTCCTTGTTTGCACATTGTGCTAACCTGGACAGGCAGCTGCTTTTGCCCACCAGCAAGGAATCGTCATGCAGGTATGGCGAGGGAGCGTAAAGAGAGCGCTGCCGTGGACCATGACACGGATGACGGATGCGGCGAAAGATAAGTTGCGTGCTTGGCAGGCCAAGGTCGTATTGCAATGGGAAGGAGGAGAAGGTTAGTTGCGACAACTGCGGATTTTGCTCGTGCGGAACCCGCTAGCTCCTGTTCGGAGGATGCTTGATTGGGAAGGAACAATTCGTGCCAAGACACTCGACCCAGATCCCCACATACGTACATGGTCTTGGTGGAGAAGAGGCCGCAATCAAGCGCAGGCGGAAGACTGGGGGAGATGTGCACTACCGGTATGCGGATAGGCAGTTGGCGAGGGGATGTTTGTTTTCCTGTGGACAAGTGCAACCGAAGAACCGGACACCGATTGGACTGCAGTGGCCAGACAACAACCGTCCGTGGACCCAGTGAGCTCGAAAATATCACAATTTGCCTCCGCGGCGAATCCTGTCTGAGGGATGACAGGTTGGATGTTTGATCCATGCTTGGCGGCGGGATAGGAGTCTCGATGCGATGGATCATTTGTTGGGCGGATGGGCGGGGGAAATAAGTTATTGTATTGATGATCCATCCCAAAGACTGTTGACAGGGTCAGAAGCCTAACGCTAACGCATAGTATACGGCACGTGACCTGCCAACCCAATCAGGAATCACGTCTGTTACACCACAGTATTCCCTTCCCCACGGCCGACCTGCGAGATGAGCTATGGCGACATGACATGCCATCATTGATGCCATCCTTTATTTGGGATAGCCCGCCTTGAACTTGACAACGAAAGCGCCTCGCTCCATCGTGTTCACGAGAATGTGGCCACTCTTGAAAAGTGCATAACTCGACCACGAACCGACAAAGTCGACCGAGCCGCCTCCGGGCATGTTGTCATCCTCGGGGTAGATGTCTGGGAAAATCGTTTAGCTATTCAACTCTTGTGCCAACGTATGCAATTGCACTTACCAAAGAAACCAACTTCCTTGACACCCTTGCCCGTGGGGTCGCTTGGAATTGATCGAACGTCCAGCACACGGAATCCGGTACCGTAGTTGCTTTGGTACGCATACCCGTTCGCGACATACTGGTTGTGATCGATACCCTTGGCCGGACTCTTGTACAGTCCAGTCTGCCTTGGCTTCCTCAGAGAGGATATGTCCCAGATGTAGGTGATGGGGTTACCAGGGATGCCAGGTCCAACCTTGTCATATTCGTCGTACTCGTCGTCGAGCAGTAAGTACTGTTGGTTGTTGGGGTCCAGAACTTGTCCTTGGTGGGTGTATGCAGCACCTTCGTACGATGTGTTGGACAAGATAACAGGAGCCTTCTTGTCCGTGACATCATAGATGGTCAGAGAGTCTTCATTGTAACCGTAACAGATCTCACGGCCAACAAACGCCTTGTCGGGTCCGCGGTAGATAAGGCACTGAGCATCGTGCACGTATCCGTCTTGCGAGGCACTTCAAATATATCATCAGCAAAGCGAAGATTTCCTTGGACTGAGAGAACTCACCATCCTGGACTCGTTGGCTTTGCAGGATTGGAAATATCAATGAAGATGATGCCAGATCTGCACTTGTCGTTTCTGGGCATCGCACCAACCGCATAGATGAAGTTCTAAAGGCAGGCGTGCAAAGTCAGCGTGAGCTCGAGTGCAGTCAGCGCAAAGAAGTAACGTACAGTCTCTGGATTGGTCACAACATTGTGCGCGCGGCCCGTAGGAAGACCATTGTAGTGACCCGTCAGATCTTTTGAGTTGCTGAAGATCACTGGCTTGGCAGGGTCAACAGTGAGGAGCTTCTTCATGTCGAAAATCTGGATACCATGTTTCTCCGCCTCGCTACCAATGATCATGAGGTTTTTCTGACCACGGATCTCCCGCCAAGTGCTAGGCGTTGAATATGCAGGAAGGCGTCCGAGGTACGACAATTTTCCTGCTTTGGTGATCTCGGCGAAGGCAGCCCCGTCTTGTTGGCCGATGCAAACAAACTCGCGACCATCGTCAGAAGTCCATCCTAGCCATCGTGAGTATAAAAACTCTCATTCCTTTGTAAAGCAGCATACCCCAAGAAGAAGATCCTACACCACGGGTGCTTCCTAGCTTGTCATGAGGTAGAAAATGGAGAAGATCGATCTAGACGGAGATCAGCATATCGACATAAAACTTTAGCAATGATACTGACGTTGCTGCATTTGAACACATCGGCTCCCGCAGTAGCAGTGCCATTGATGCACTCGACCTTGTCCTTGATCTCCGGGTACTGTGCCGAGTTGTAGGCACCCATGGCTTCCTGCCTTGCCCATGATTCCTAAAAAGCTTGTAAGCACTGCGTTACAAAACAGCGGACGGGGAGAAACTACCTTCTTCAGAGCCATGTTGTTCGCGTGCCTGATGCCAGAGTCGTACAACTCTGCCGCCTTGATTTCATCCTTTGGCATCTCCTTGGCCGCCGCAAGAGCAGCCAGGGAGAAGAGTGCGCTGCGTACATACATGTTTCCGAGAGACGGGCGTTACAGCGGATGATGGCGAACAAGTCATCTTCTTCGTTGCAGGACATCTTTATAGACGATTTCTGGACAAAGAGGTGCTCTATTCGCCGTTCTCCATACTGTACTACCTTTGGCTAGTCTGGCAGAGTTGAGAAGCTACCTGCCCTTCTTGACGACCCGGTCCACCTCGTGCTGCATTGCATCAGTCATCACGAGGTTCTCATGTTAAACTATGGGCGCGATGGGCAGCGCGTATATGAATTCGAGTGCCGGAACACCTCAACATTGGTGGTTCGAAATGAGCAAAGACTTCGAGGCGACGAGTTAGGAAGGAGGTTTCATTTAAGCATGCCTTGGCGACGGCTGTCGCCTTGCTTCTGTCTAGTAAACACATGAAACGCCCTTGCTGCCAAGCTGTCGATCCTTGATGCATGCGAAAGATAAGGATGTACACAGTAGTTTTGGGAGAGTGACTGGTTTCCATGGCCATCGTGATGGTTCTGATCTTGGACGGATGGGATCTTTCATACGCGATGTAACGTTTCCACACGAGCGGACCGTAGCTACGCTCTTAGCATCCAAGGCGATCCTGGCAGGGAGCGCTGTCATGTTGATTCCGTAGACACCAGTACATCGATCAAGAAGTTATCCCCGTATATTGACAGAGAAGAATCGGATGGTCCATATATTTTCGATAACGCGATTGCAGGGTCGCTTGTCGAAAGCGCATCTATGGTTTGTACCTTGATTAGCAGCTTCCTGTTTAGAGATTAGTCCATGGATAGAATGGAGTGCGAGCGGCTTTAGGCAAATCCCCGCTGACTGAAGGCCGGCAGTCTTGAAGGATGAAATGAAGGATGCGATGGCAGACTAAGGCGAACAAATAAGTGTACGGTAGCCGCACTGACGGTACAAGTGCATCGTTGGGAAACGAAGATGAATGTCTGTTGTCGGGCGTGGGTGATGGTGAAGTGTTCCGATGGAATGCGAAGCAGGCCCGTGTTTTGGTTGAATGTAACCTGATAGGATGCCAGATGGAAGTGATGTCAAGAAGTGTTTGCAATGACGATCAAGTTCTCATGTGCGAGTTCAGCAGAGGATGGGTGCATCTTTATTATTTAACATGCTCCACGACACGCAGTGAAAGGCCAATGCTCGCGAAAGCTCTCAAATGTTCGCACCTGGACTGCCTAAATGGGCATGTTGTACGGAGATGGCGTGAGGGAACGCGTCAGGTCTTACTCCTAGTAGTGTGACAAGCCTTGCAGCCCGAAAAGAGAACAAGGTACCAGGCACGGGACTGGTATGATCCAATGCACGTGATGGCACGTGACAGACGGCACGTGAATGGTGGGGTAGCCTTGCCAAGGCTTGTTGGAAGCGGGGTTGGCCGCGACGGACGGACCGCAGAATGGTGGCTACGCTAAACAAGTCTAGAGTAATAAGCTCAGGTGTGGTGGGTACGTCATTCCCCAAAAACTCTGTCAACAACATCACCAGACATGTCAACTTGAAGATGTTGTGCAATCTGGACACCGTCCAGTAGTAATGCAATTCTTGAGTCTATGTAGTCATCATGTAATGTTTTTCATCGTCATCCATGTATCGTCATATCCCCTGTTCTCTCCAAGGCAGAGCTCGTCAAAGTTTTGGTCGTGATAAGACAAAGTGCAGTGCTCTAGCAAGAGAGCAGCTTACATCTTGGCCTCGACCTTCTTCAGGCAGTCCTGGAACTCCTTCCAGTCGTACATGATGGCAGCACACTTGGTCTCTTCGGTAAGGAGCTTGGCCATCTGCTCCATCTTCTCCTTGCCCTCCTCGATACCGTAGATACCAACGTAGCCGATGCAGGGAATGCCCGCGCGCATGGCAGCAGTGGCACCGCTCTTGGAGTCCTCAACCGTGACAGCCTCATGGGGCTTGACACCCAGCTGCTCAGCAGCGTAAAGGTAGATGGCCGGGTCAGGCTTGGAGCTGGGTGGGTTCAGGGAGGTGGCGGCAGAGTAGACGTGCTCGGGAGGGAAGAAGTGGGCAATGCCAGCCTTCTCAATCGAGGCAACCACACGGCTCTTGGCCGAGGTGCTGACAACAGACATGGGGTAGCCCTGCTCCTTGAGCTTGTTCAGCTCGACGGTGACACCAGGGCACTCGACGGCCTCCTGGCTGAGCTTGCGGGTGACGGCACCCAGCTCCTGCTGGACAAAGTCCTCAAGCTCCTCCTCAGGCATGGTGAATTTGTGCTTCTTCTGCAGGCCCTTGAGCATACCGCGGAAGTTGTGGCCTACAAAGTCCTCGAGGAGCGAGTCGGCCGTGTATGTGGCGTCGATGTTGTGCTTCTTCATCACCTCGTTGGTGAGCTCGGCGCAGGCCGCAAAGGCAACACGCTCTGACTGGACGAGCGTGTTGTCGCAGTCGAGCATGATGTACTTGGCCTGTTGCAGGTGTTAAAGGTGGGCCATGGCGGGGCATGGCGGGGTGATGCTTGGGGAGGGGTGCTTACCTTGCCCATGATTGCGGTTGTGTATTTTAAATTGGTTTGAATGTGGTGGGTTATGTGGTGGTAGAAGAGGAGTCAATTGACAAATGGGAGAGATGTCGGCGTGTGAAGAGTGTGTTGATGAGGAGTGTGTGGGAAACAGTCGAGGTTTTGTTGGGGGGCTTGTTAATAAATATCGTAGTAGCGCTGCTGAGCTGTCAAGGAGAGGCGGTGCGGCAGGGGGGAAGGTGGGACCCGGCTTTACGTCATTGGCTGCCTCCTGGCAGACGCGTGGGCAGACTATTGGTCAGGCACTCTGTCGCTCTCACTCTCACTCTCACTCTCACTCTCTCACTTCTCACTCTCTCTCACTCTCTCTCCTTCTCTCTCGCAATCTTGCTTGTCTTGTATCAATGCATGACCGCCTCAATCTCAGATTCTCACCCATGTCCCTTCCCCACCGAACTATCGTGACATTTAGTTTTATGCGCTATTACTACAATTTCATTGTTCAATCACACCCAACCTAGCAGCTCTCTCTGCTCTGGTAGTTAACACAGACGTTTCTTGTTACCCCTCCAATTACCTAGGATACTTTGTTTGTTTTCTACTGCCCTCTCACCTCTAGGTATACACAACGCAACGCATGAACTAGACCTTTGTCTCACTACACACCCACACTTGGACCAACATCACGAGAACTCTCCCTTTCCCCACATGCTTCGAGTCCAGAGCTTCGCCGCCTGCCAACACGGTGTGCCCCAGAGCCAGTCCCTGCATATAAGCGGTGATGCGCTTGCGTCGCGCCGTGGCCCGCCATGCACCACCAACACTCCAGCCCTGGGCATATTACCACTGCACTACCATGAGGCCGAACCATTACTACGATTGGCTATCTAGGTGCTGGCGCGAGCCAATGTCGGGGCTTGGGAGTACCACTGAAGCGAATTATCGCGAGATTAGGTAGATGACTACTTTGTTGGCACTAACGTCGCACTCCAATGCTGCACACCAAGACTGTGCTCACGCTTTCCAATTATTCAAGGAGCATTGAAGGGAAAAAATAACAGGGGGAAATTCGCCGAGTACAAAGAGTCCAACCTGAATCAGCCAGACACCATAAATTTCTTGTCCCACCACCTGCTACACATCGTGAACTCCTGGGCGTACGACAGAGTCGCATCCGTAAGTCATTCTTCGGCCGTGAACACATCCAATTACTTGTCCTCCTGCAGCTCACCGTACTCTCGGTCCAGCTCACCAGCCGATGTCCTCATATGCTGCCGAAGTCGCACTAAACTCGCCATGCTCTTCTTCCATTTCGTCTCTGCCGCCTGAGCTTGCTTCTGTTCCTCTTGAAGATTTCGCTGATACTTTGCGGCGGCAGTCTCTGCCACTATAATTCGTCGTTCCAGAAGCTTGCAAGTGGCCTTGAGCTGTTCGTGCACCTGTCTTACAGTCTCCTCATCGTGTACCAGCTGGTCGTGCTTGGACTTGAGACCACTGTAAGCGTTTTGGTCGTAGTCCTTTTGCGTCTGCAGAAGGTTCACACTTGTGCTGAGTGCTTCTTTTTCTGCTCGTAATCGTATGTTTTCAGTCATGAACGCGTGGCTTCGAGTCTCTAATATGTCGTAAAACTTGTGAGGGGCCTTGTGTCGGAGCTTGAGCTGCAAAGATTCTGTCTCTCCGGCCTCGGCGTGGATTCCACAATTGGTGAGAGCTCCCTCGGACAGGTTTGGTCCAGTCTGAACAGCTTTGCTTGTTATATCCTGCTTGTTTGAAGCCGAATTTACTGACTGAACTTCATCTCCACTGGGGATGGGATTGCGCTTGTGGCGTTTCAGCCTTGCTATGAAATATCAGCTTCATTCTTTTTGCAATAGCACAAGTGTGATCGGGACCTACGAGACTCTAAAGTGCCCGGCTCGGAATTTGCATGCTTCCCCTGCTTCTCCGCGGTAGTTTTCGCCTCCTGGCATTCGTTCCTCACGTCTTCAAGCACTTTGCTTTGTCAGCATCACTTGTATCTGATTGTTTGGATTGGCGCACTTACCCAAGTTCAAATGGTTTTGTTTCATCGATGTATTTTCGCTCCCAGGTTTCTCCCCGGCCATCTGTAGCGAATGCGATGTCGCCTTGGGATGTTGTCCATTGCGCGCAACCCAGCTACATGCCGTTCTGAAATCCGTCCAAAATGTGTCGTAGTCATCAATCACGTCGATGTAGCCGGCAGCCAGAAAGTAATACAACACAAGCGCTCGAGCCATGCGAAACACTATGCGTTCCGAGCATTGGTTTTCCACGATGTCACAGAAGGGCTCCTGGAAATTTACATAGCTTACGACTTGGCTCTGTGTCATTTTTTTGAAGCCACACTGTTTTCGTAACTCACGTACGTAGCGTATCTGATTGCGACTATCGTTACGATAACCCACCCAAACGAGACAATTCGAATCATCCTCATTTGATTCTTCCGTAAAACCAACCTGAAGTATGACAGTACTGATGTCTTGCAGCTGATATATTCTCTTTAGTGGTCCAGTATCCACAGGCTTCTTAATGTATTCTTGATCAGATCGGGTTCGGAAGTTGAGGCTCGATGTAGGTGGTAGCGATTCAAAGTCCATACGGAAGTGCGCCCAAGCCAGTCCTTGGACCATCTCCAAGCACCATTTTGCGGGTGATAGATGAGTTGTATCCATTGTTTTCGGTAGGTGCGATCGCACCAGTGATCACTGGTGTCGTGGTCACTATCAGCGCGGATTGAATGTAGAGCCTTGATAGGTACCACAGGAGGTGTAGAAGAGTAATTCGGTCGGTAGATACGCTCATGATTTGAAAAACTCAATTTGTCGCATAATCTGCAACTGATGCTCACCATGAGGTGAGAGTGAATGATAATGCATCGTCCCAGAGTCTTTACTCAATGTGTGCGGCTGAATTTGATGAGTGATTTGGCGGAAAATCTTGTGAAATGAACCGTTGGAGCTCCTGTGTGGGTTGATAATATAGGGCTTATGCCAGATGACAGAACCTGTTGGACTGATGGATGCTGCAGATTTAGATTGAGAAGAGCAATCTTGTTGCAGACCGATCGAGGAATCCGAGATGGGACTTCCCATCAAACACCATTGCTCCCCGTCTCTTACTTACAGTGAAAGTACTATTTGGTTCCAGGTGAGAACGCAGGTCTGTGTTTTCCACTGAGAGGTTGCTGGTATCAGTTGCCAGAGCCGGTCCAAGTGCCTTTGTGTGAAGGTTTCTACAACACGTCGCGCAGCTTCAAGCTAGGTTAACATATGCTACTTATGCAAATTCGAATTCAAAATAAGCAGTCCTGTCTTATTACAATATGTCGCAAATGATACGCTCACAAGACGGTGTGATAGCACGATAACAACGCAGAGTTGCTACCAATTCATAATCTCATTGGTGCGAACCATCATCTTAGCATAGTAAATAACGTCCACGCATAGGAGACCATTGAAGAATACAGAAATCTAGAATGATTTTGATGAAAATAGCGGAATGCGATTGCGAGGTTGTCGAATATGAGTGAGGAGGCGTTGTTGATGATGAGCGTGCTTTCCTCCGAAGTGGAGCCGCCCCATCATCGCGCCTCCCATTGTCCGCTTCTACCTTTGTCTCTTCCCGCTTCACCCGTATACTCTACATATTAAACACCAGCATTTCATGAGTCAAGTCATGATGATAGTCCGAATTGGCTCTCTCATTACACATACTCAGGGTCATCCCAATACCTGTGGTCCTTTCATGATGCTCGACGCAGATCGGCGCAAATCAGCCCATGCTATCCTCGGTATTCCCAAGCTACCTCCCCGCAATTCGGAGTAACATTCATCAGCTTTCCCCAGTCGTGGGCTCCACACTGCACATTTCGACAGACCTAAGCATCTTCTTCACCCGTAGTTTGGTCTTTAGCCTGAATGGACGGTTGTTCAAGACGATTGTTCAGTAATCTGCAAACCTGCCCCCGGAATTGCTTCATTACCGGTAAGGTTCTTAGTGAAGTCTTGTGGCCAATGCAGTGGTATTCAGTATAAATTATTGCTTCGACAGACATTAAAATCCTGGTTTTATCATCAAGATTTAAGCAAAGTTTACGATGCGTTTATCCTTCTCCTCGACGATCCTCGCCTGGGGCCTTGTTGTCGCAGAGGATGGCTCTCAAGGCTGGTTGCGATATGCCCCAATTCCTGACCTAAGCAATTCCAGGTTGGTGCCCTCGAACATTGTGGCGCTGAACTCTACTACGACGAGTCCAGTGTTCACAGCAGGACAAGAACTTCGAAAAGGCATCGAGGGTGTTTTCGGCCGACAACTCAATGTCAGTGCAACCGCGATGAGGAATTCATCGTCGATCATTGTCGGAACTGTGGACGCATACACCGATGCGTATGGAACTTTTGAAGATGCACAAAATATCGAAGAAGATGGGTTTTACCTAAGCACGTCGTCACATCAGGTTATCATTGTGGGAAGCAACGAGCGTGGAGCTCTTTATGGCGCGTTCGAATATTTGTCTCGAATAGCACAGAACAATTTTACACAAGACTCATTTGTGTCGAACCCTCAGGCACTTATTCGATGGACGAATGAGTGGGACAACATGGATGGAAGTATTGAGCGTGGTTATGGCGGACCTTCGATCTTCCTGAAGGGCGGATATGTCGTTGACAATACTACGCGCGTCGCCGAATATGCCCGTCTTCTCGCATCAGTACGTATCAATGGTGTTGTTGTAAACAATGTCAACGCCAATGCAACACTGCTCAGCCCCCGCAATATAGAAGGCTTGGGTAGACTCGCGGACGCAATGCGCCCATACGGGGTTCGACTTGGCATTTCGCTCAACTTTGCTTCGCCAAATGCCACTCTAGGTACCTTTGATCCTCTGGACCCCAAGGTGGATGCATGGTGGGCCAATATCACTGAGCAAATATACGAGAAAGTCCCGGACATGGCAGGTTACCTGGTCAAGGCAAATAGCGAGGGTCAACCCGGTCCTCTGACGTACAATCGCACGCTGGCTGACGGAGCTAACATGTATGCATTACTCTTCACCCAGGTGAAAATCTGAAGCTGTACTGATCCGGTGCTATTCCGATATAGGTTTGCGCGAGCTTTGAAGCCTCATGGAGGTATCGTTATGTTTCGTGCTTTTGTCTATGACCATCACATGTCCTACGACAATTGGACCAACGATCGAGCTAACGCACAATTGGAATTCTTCCAACATTTGGATGGAAAGTTCGAAGAGAACGTAGTCGTACAGATCAAGTACGGACCAATCGACTTTCAGGTTCGAGAACCTGCGTCGCCACTGTTTGCAGCATTGCACAACACGAGCACAGCCATTGAGCTCCAGATCACCCCAGAGTATCTCGGTCAAAATTGCCACCATGTTTACCTCGCTCCCCTCTGGAAAGAGATACTTGACTTTGATCTGAGGGCCGAAAATAAATCAACCATCGTAAAAGATGTTGTGTCTGGGCAACGTTTCAAGAGACCACTGGGTGGGTATGCAGGTGTCCCTGGAGCTGGGATGAACAGTACATGGCTCGGTAGCCATATGGCAATGTCTGTGAGTCTGACTGTCTGCCAGGGAGATGGACTCATTTGCTGAATTTGACAGAATTTATACGCATACGGGAAATTGGCGTGGGATGCCTCACTCCGATCTGAAGATATCATCCAGGACTGGACTCGTTTGACTTTCGGATTTGACAAAGATGTTCTAAACACCATCACAGACATCTCAATGAGATCATGGCCTGCCTACGAGAACTACAGTGGAAATCTTGGTGTTCAGACTTTGACTGACATACTCTACACGCACTTTGGACCTAATCCTGCTTCACAGGACAATAATGGATGGGGCCAGTGGTTGCGCGCTGGCAACGTGACTATTGGCATGGATCGCACAATTGAAAATGGTACAGGCAATGCTGGACACTACCCTCCTGAAATTGCCGAGATCTACAACAACATCGAAAATACCCCGGATAATCTTCTTCTGTGGTTCCATCATGTTCCTTATACCCAACGGTTGAAGTCGGGCAAGACTGTCATTCAACACTTCTACGATGCTCACTATGAAGGCGCCGCCACAGCCCAGGAATTCGTCGGGCAATGGGAATCTTTGAAGGGCAAGCTAGATGACGAAAGATTCAAACACGTTCTTTTCCGACAGATTTACCAGGCGGGTCATTCACTGGTATGGCGCGATGCTATTAATCAGTATTTCTACAACCTTTCAGCGATCCCAGACGAGGCCAATCGAGTTGGGAATCATCCTTACCGCATAGAAGCTGAAAGTATGAGCCTGGATGGCTACAAGCCGTATCTGGTCGATCCATTCGAGACTGCGTCTGGCTTCACAGCGATCGTCACGGTTTCGAACACCACGATAGGTACCGCCACTGCGCATATCCCCTTCGCGTCGGGAACGTATACTGTTGCTGTGAATTATTACGATCTTTTTGCTGGCAAAGCCAAGTACCAGCTCGACATCGGTAATCGTACAGTGGGCCAATGGACTGGTGATCTTGAGGATAAATTAGGTCATGAGCCATCGAGGTACCTTGACGGCCATACAGCATCGCGCATCACATTCAGAAATGTCAGTGTTCAGCAAGGCGACATGGTGCGAATCATAGGACAACCAAATGGTCTTGAAGCTGCACCTATCGATTACATTTCGTTTTTACCTCCAGGAATCGTTGACTGAGTAATCAGAAGATCAGTCATAGATATAAGTAGACAACAAGATAATATATCGAAATTCTTGCACATGGGCCGTCCGTGGTCTTCGCTCAGTACATGGCCATTTCCACAATTCAGAAACCCTGGCGCAACTCATTCTGCCTACCTCGTAACACCTACAATAGCCGTTTCACGCTAGCCACAGACGGCGCCCGCAATTTAACAGTCGGTAGTTTGCACTGTTGCAGACAGGTAAACCCTCACTCTACACGCGCCGACGGTCAAGCGGCCTGTCAAATGCGTCGACCAGCTTTTTATAGACCACTTGTGCATTTCTCCAGCATTTCACAACTGGTGCGCAACGGAAATCCCTAGATGGGATACTCAAACGATACCCCCTTCCGTGTTCGCTTCCTCCGGCGCCACATGCGCAACAACATTGGCCTGGGACCCATGACCGCCAATGTCACAGACTCTTCGCAGCATAGGGGTTAACAATGCATCCGCATAACAGCAAGCATTGTTGCAGACGCCCCTTCTGCATCTTTCTCTCATGTTCATTGTATCAACACTCGTTTCAATATCGCCACATTCGTTGCGCATCTGAGCCGATGAGATCTTACCGTCAAAGTTACCGGTACGGGACAGATGCCACGCCCCAGCACAGTCGCTGCTCGATGCGCTGCAGTGAGCACATCAATCGGCCAGGTAATTGCCCACAACACCAGCCAGTCTGCATGTACAATACTTATCCTTGCTGTAGGTCATCCCAGATGTCAGCAGCTTTGCGCGAAAGGTTCGTGAATCACGACACGACTTGAACGCAATCAACCATGATTTGCTTGTCATCAAGACTGGTCTTGGCATCTCACAGGACGACTTTTCCAGACCAGGACTGAAATTACCTGCCCCACTTGTTGATGCATTAATGCAAATCCTCGATTCCTGCGACAACACTTGTGAGCGTCTTCATAAGGCTTTCCTGAGGCTTTCCTGTGGTGATGCGCCTCAGATTGGCTGGCAGTCTCTCAAAGATGGCATTTTGGTCAATTTACGACATGATCTGGATGCATGCAAGGTTGTGCTCGAACTCGCTATCGATTATGTAGCGTTGTGAGTTTTCAGCTCTCTTCACGTTTCCAACACAAGTTGTAGACTAATCTTGCTAGGTATAATCAGCAAGGCACAATTGACTCACTGATCAAAGCCTACGTCGATGACTTGATCATAGCTAATGAGGAGCTGCTCAAAAGGACAGATGCGGAGGAGATTTATGTTAATCAAACTGCACGAGAAGGGCTTCCAACCCTCTTGAAAGCGATTCGTTTGCTTCGCTCATGTATCAATGTCGATTCAAAGCAATCGCCACCGCCTGTCACATCATCTTCGAGTAGGCGAACAACAATTGCACGTCCAGACTCGCTAGAGCCTGTGTTGGGTGATATGCGTCGGAGTGGATGCAAAAGCCCCTCACCACAAAATCCAGTAGGCTCGTCTAGAAGCAGAGGAGTTAGCACATGGCTTGAAAATGTTCCTCCTTTCGAAGAACAAGAGTCACCTAAACACTCAGCGATTCAACGAGTTGCCGGGGGGCTGTCCCGCTTGCGACCGCTATCACGGAGTGATTTAGCTCCATCTCGTGGAACTTTCTATAAGGACGATGGCGCCTCATCTAGTTCGACCCTCATCTCTCCCGATTCACACATCAGGAAATCGCGAAGTTGGTGCAGCGACCTCTCAGGCAGAGCCAGTGCTTATCTCGGCGGTGGGTCTAAAGACACCACGCCGAAAGAATCATCCAAACGATCAGGAACATTGACTAGTTCGAATGTCTCCATCTTCCATAAGCAAATTCTATCCGACAAAATAGCAGTAGCGAAAGACAATCGGAAAGAGCTCGAAACAGATCAACGGTCAGCTTTCGACCGCATCTTGGCCAACATTCCCGCAGAGGCAAATGCTGCGGAAGTTGAAAAGATCCTATGGGAGGGCGCAAGCCCCATGGCCTCGCACCCCGAGTTTGGCTACTTCTTTCTGCGAGTGGCATACGAAATGTCGCTTGACATTTTGAGGAAGCTCATAGAGTTTGGTGCGGATATTACACGCACACAACCATCATCGACGCCTTACTTTTCAGCTATACATGCTGCTGTTTCGGGACGGCAATTAGCTACAGTTCAGTATCTGGTGCTCTTGGGACATTCTATTGACATCCCCAACAGTAATGGCGAGACACCGCTTCATCTTGCGGTAAAGACACCAGGATCTTATCAAGTAGCGCGATATCTTGTAGAAATGGGCGCAGATGTAAACTACCGAGCTAGAGATGGTTATACTCCTTTACAATCGGCACTGAAGACCTCAATCTTGGAAGGGAAGGAGAGGAGCATGCTGATTGAACTACTGTTCGCATATGGAGCTGACGATGAAATACAAAGAGGCGACAGAGAAAATATGAGAGGAAACTCCAAGGGGAAAAGCGTATTGGGACTGACATGAATGCTGTGTAAACCTCAGTCACCTTTACTCACGAAATGGTCATCAATTCGAAGGCACATCCTGCCAGTGAAGCGACGAACGGGATCATAATTCATCAAAGCAAGGAGTACATGTTAGCTCTTGATATTCTTACATGGCTGCTTCCATACACTCTGACATTGTAAGCTACGTCTAATCCACCCATAGTGATGCAGGCCTACACAGTGGCTAGGCAAATCTCGCCAAGCCACCAGCGTTATCGCGATCCACTCATCGGCCACCTCCGCGCCCAGTCGTCTCCAACTGCATTTGTTGGATTTCTCCATCTTGACATAGCCTCTACAACAACTTAGCACGCTGCCATGTCAACGGGAAACAAAGAGACTTTCTCCATGTGGGTTGGAGGGGCAGAAATTCAAGGCAACGCAGAGCGGTCAGTTCAACCCTCATTCTCCACAAGCCACAATTGCTAATCGAATTTCAGATTACATATTGAAGATCCCGCAACCAGCGAGATATTTGCATATTGCCATGCTGCATCAACAAAAGACGTAGATGAAACTGTCAAAAAGGCACACAATGTATTCAGATCCGGCGTCTGGTCCAAAGCTCCGCGGCATGTTCGCGCAGACACTTTGGACCGCATTGCTGAATTCTTGACTAAAAACTTGCCACGACTGATCGAGCTGGAAGTTCGACAGACTGGAAGAGCCATCAGAGAGATGAATGCGCAAGTGCCTACTCTAGTCAAGTGGTTCAAGTACTACGCTGCGCTTATCAGGACCGAGGAGCGATCCGTACTGCCTACCGTCGGCAAACTGCACAATTGGATCGACCGCAAGCCTCTCGGTGTCGTTGCGCAGATAACGCCGTTCAACCATCCCATGTTGATCGCTGTGAAGAAGATAGCACCTGCACTGGCTGGTGGTAATTCAATTGTGCTGAAGCCCAGTGAATTGACTCCTCTGACGAGCATCGAGCTTGGGAAATTGTTCAAGGAGGCCGGCTTGCCAGATGGTGTCTTCAATGTGCTACCGGGGGATGGGCTAACCACCGGTAAAGCGCTCGTGGAACATCCACTGATCAAAAAGGTCGACGTTACCGGAGGTACGCCTGCTGGCCGAGCCATTGGGGCTACTGCTGGACGGAACCTTGCTCACTATACCGCTGAACTTGGCGGGAAAGCCCCACTCATTGTCTTTGAGCAAGCGCACATCGATTTAGCTGTCAATGGCATCGTCTTTGGAAGTTTTATTGCAAGCGGCCAGACATGCGTTGCGGCAACTCGCATTATAGTGCACAATAGGGTCATCGATCAGGTTGTAGAGAAGCTAAAGGTCAAATCGAAGAGCATCGAGAGACGAATGGGCTCGCCAAAGAATGTAAAATCTATGATGGGGCCATTGATCTCGGAGAAACAACTCAACAATGTCTCGGTATTGGTCAATGACGCTGTCGAAGCAGGTGTAACGGTCATCACGGGTGGTCAAAGGATGAGCGGAACATCATCTCTCGATAACACAGATTTTGCACAGGGTTACTTCTACCCGCCAACAATTCTTACCGACAGCCCCTCCAAAAAGATCACCGATACCCGAATCTGGAGAGAAGAGGCTTTTGGCCCGGTCATTGTTGTCGTTGGTTTCGACACCGAAGAAGAAGCATTGAACTTGGCGAATGACAGTGAATTTGGACTCGGCGCAGCAATCTGGACGCAGGATCTTTCCCAAGCTTTTAGAGTTTCGGAGAGCATCGAGAGCGGCATTTGCTGGGTGAATACGCACCACCGCAATGATCCTAGCTCACCGTGGGGTGGTATCAAGAGCTCAGGTGTTGGGAGCGAGAACGGGATAGATGCTTATCATGCATACACCACCACAAAGAGTACAATCATCAACTATGCAACCGCGGAAGAGGGCCTTGCTAGCGATGATTGGTTCCGAGAAGGGTCTGGAGATGTCAGGTACGGCTAGGTGATGGCAACGAACGCCACTCCTCGTTCACATGAGGTTCAAACTTGTGGTCACTCCATGCATCGAACAGAGACGCGATGTCATCGCTATCGGTGGTCGATGGGCGGGAAAAAGTACGAGGCTTCTTAATTTGGCAAAATACCTAGTGGGATGTGAACTTTCGAAAACGGTTCTATCAACAAGATATCTGGCGGCTGTATATTAGGCAACTCGCTAAAGTGCCCCGCACAATATGCATAGATGAACTTCTTGGATCAAAGCGGATTCACACTTCTGTTATTGGATGAACCAGACGTTGACATCTTCTTCGCAGGTAATGCCCAGTATGATAAGATGGCGACGGAGTGGCCGGCGTGCATGCAATGCAGACTCAAAACCAGGATTGATGATACCCTGACCTATGTTTAGCATGCAAGACATGGCAAGGAATTCAATAATTCAGCAGCGTTCAGATTCAAGGTATATGTATATAAAAACCCTAAGAGCATCGCTTTCGCGGGTGCCACCGTATACCACACATCACCACAAACTCACCACTCTCTCCGTCACCTTATAAGAGCAGCCCTCTATTCCAAAATACCAACCCAAAGTCCAGCATAATACCATTACCACCACACTTCAACGACCACGAAAATGAATCTCTTCGTCATCCTTACTACCATAACGTCGCTCGCAATTGCTGCACCCGCCACCAAAGACCCCTACCCAGCCCCATGCGGCCGATCAATCCCTTCGGGTATCTGCACTACTCAGGATACTTGCTATAAGAAGGGAGGCTTCTACGTGCAACGAGATTGTCAATTCTATAACGTCCTGGATATTGGGTGTTGCTATGATATTCCGGATGGGAAGTAGGAAGACTGTGTGTATGAGAGATATTTGCGAGTGAGGACAGAAAAGTGGAATGGGCCGTGAGGAGTTGAATAGTTTCGATAGGTATTGATATCACGAATGATAACGGGATTTTCTGTGCTAGGCCTGTGTATTGTAAACACAATGTCGTCTGATTGCCGTGAGACTCCAAGTAAGTTCAACTTGTGTAAGATCGCACACGAACCGATCATGATGGATGGGTGAAGGGAAGGTTGAGCCGAGGCAGTCTTATGTCAGCTTTTCCTCCACACGGCCATCGGACGTCATCGGGATCCCTCCCCGCATTCTCCCGGAATAATATTCGGCCATCTGATTGACAAGATCTATCGAGCTGAGCAAGACGAAGACCGTTACGAGAGAGTCTCACCTTCTCGCTCATCTCTCATTCACTATTACAAGGCTTGGATGCCTCCCAGGCACGCTCTCACCTGCATTGACGATCGTTTTGTTGTTCCGAAACTGGCCGATCGTTTCTCCCACCCACACACGACAAAATTCCCTCGTGCGCACCATGGATCCAAGTTTGGCCTTTATAGCATAATTAGGCGCTTTCACGATTGTTGGAAAAGCGTCCGCATGAGGGAGTAGCTTCAGAGGTCACAGTCAAAAGCCACAGTACGTCAAATCAGCTTTTTCCACCACGCGACAGCCATGTTACACAATGTGCGACCTTGCGCACTCCCTGTATTCTTGCATCGGAGAGCCACTCGTACGGAGCGGCTACTACTCCGGATTTCTTGTATCTCTGGGAAGATGGTGATGTTGTGATATTTTGTGGTAGGGATTCGTGGTGACCATTTACCACAGAGGACCTGACCATGAATATCGTTTGCGCTTGACCTTGGTGAAGGCAGATGCTCCCAGTGCTTACTCGCGCTAGACATGGCAACTGTTGTTCGACCGCGACCTCCTCGTCAACATGACTGCGGCACCGCATCTGAAACCTCTGCACAGCCGGTACCGGTACGCCACGAGTATGGGAACCGCCAGGACACAAAGTCGAGCACAGTCACAAAACGAAAAAGACAGCCAAACTCGGACGTCGCAAGGGCTTACAAGAAGATAAGATCAGACTCACCGTCAACCGGAAGAAGCGTTTGTCCACTTCTCCGAGTTGTTCAGCAGTATGGTCTACTTCTTAGCATCGTACTAAATCTCAGTCCAGAAGATCTCTTGGCACTTGCCCTGTCGGCAAAGGCGCTCCACGAAGCCATAGCGCCTCGACTACGAAGTCTCCAGAATCTACTGGAAAGAATGCCCTGTCCTGGTAGGGGCATTCAGATCCGAGAGAGACGCCACCAGATATCAGGAAATCCGGATTCTTGTCTAGGTACGCAATACGTTGTATGCGCCTCCACCTCCACCAGCCAGAGTGTCGAAACGCGGCCATGTGTGCAATGCAGGGTCAACACCTGTGACGAGTGTCGCATTCATTGCGTGTACCAAAGTATTTACGAAGCACCAGTTGAAGAGGATGAGCTTCCCAACTTCAGTGGCTTCGTTATGCTTGATGCCCCGGAGGTACCGATTCTCAGCCCAAATCATCTGAACGCTCATGGAGCACCATGGCAAGATCCATCGCAGCAGAAAGTTGCACCATATCATGATTCGGGATTCATCGATCTTCCCTTTGACGAGCAGGAATACGGCCCACCTGAATGCGTTGAGAGTATTCTTAGCGTTGATCTCGGCGAGGATTCGCTGGCGCTATCAGTGCCGTCGAACGTATCGAGCCCATCGCCAGTCCTGCGGGCTTTCCACAATACTGCGCTCCAGAGACGACGTTGGTTTTGTCGCGATTGTCTACCTCAGCAGGCTATCACACGGAAAAGGAATGGGGCGCAGGACGACTCTTGTCATTGCACACTTCAAAGCCGTTTCCTCGATCGCTGGCTATGTTTACGTTGCTATGAGAAGGAAGAAGATGCTATTGCAAACAGGTTCCCCGCCAATAAGACCAGCTGTGGCTGTGGCTGCCGCTTTGGACGAGCTATGTGTACATGGTGCTGGGGCGAGATAAGAGGTCCTGATGGGCAATAGCCCATAGCCTGCACCAACCCGATATGACCAATGGGTTGATGGGCTTGTTGTATTGCATTGGATTGCCGTGCATGGTTTCGGCACGTTTCTTCTACAAGCGTTGGCGCTTTCCGGCCCCAACTGTTACCATGTCTGACGTTATGACCAATAGCATTTCCAGTTGTCTTGGTTTGTCCCAGACCCTCTGTGGTTATTTTCCCACTTTACGCCCTGTACTGCTAGGCTGTATAACAATTGTATCAACATTTTGTATTTGTGGAGATTATCGCAGGTCTGACAAAGGCTGGAAACTGTATATACTGTAATCGATACGGTTACTTGATCTCTTCTCTTACAGGGTATCCTCACGATGGTATGACCCGTACGAGATGACTTGATGTTCGCCCAGTATACCATGGAAAAGTCTTTCGGCCCGTTGCTATTCACATGGTGGTGGGTTAGAAAGCACTGGGGCAAGCACGCCTCTTGGCTTCTTGTTACAAAGGTAACACTCATGAGCAAGAGTGTCAATGTCTTGGTAGGCATCAAGCCACATGTCTATGCCAAGGACCTGGCACATGTTATTGAGAAATATCGTTCCGACTTCGGAGATTTCTTGTTGCTTATAGCCAAACAGCCATGCATCGAAGATACCTCAAATGGCTTCCGACCTTTCGGTGGCCACGTCCTTGGAAACGCAGATGACTTCTCTACCGGAACCAAAACCAAAACCTTCATATCAACACCAGCAGCATGCCGAGTTCTTGACGAAGAGGAGGAGCATAGAACTTTCCTGGAGAATATGAGACGGAGACGCTTCGAATGAGGATTGTTCATTTGATGGAAAGGAGAAAGGATGTAAGCAGCCAGACGTACCTTAGGTACTAGCGTTGCATCTGTGCCTAGTAAAACCGATAGCCGAGGCGGTCACACATGGAACGAAAGATCTGGGGAACCGCAACATTGGAACCGCGATGAATGAGTTACAGAAACACTCCACTGGATAGCTGGCAGCCGGTGGTGTTTCGGAGGCATGCGAGATCCGATGCTGTTGTGGCAGATTCCTGGTCTGTGGATCTTGACGAGTCATGCGAGGATACCGGCCTTTCTTGGAATGGTACATGATCCGTTATCCACACAGCTTCCGATGGAATATAGGTACAGGGGACCTGCATGCTACCAACATAAATCCCCGGAGCCAAAGCCCCAGGATTCCGTGTGTTTATCAGGTGCAGGCATACCTATACGAGCTTGGCAAATCTCAATCCTGTAGCAGTATTGACTGTTGTTGGCCAATCGTCATATTGGCCAACTTTACCGACGGATTCAACAAGCCTTTCTGATACCTGTGATAGCCTAGGCTACGCAAGGCAGGTGTTTTGCTTGTCACTCTGCAGCAAGAGGACTCCCACGGACGCATATCCTTTTGTGGAGAGACACTACCACAAGCCAAGGAGGGCCTGAAGAGTTTGCCTCGCCGACAACGTCCCATCTAGAAGCTCGTATATGATGACAGACGGCAAGAAACGAGTGTGTTGTACCGTTAGGTAAGAGGCACACGACAGTGGCACGCAAAGCTGGGACATGGTTGCGGTTTTGTGACCTTCCCCTTTCGGCTGCGCCGTTTACCCGCCACCGACATATCTAGAGTACGAGCTGGCGCGACTTGGCGATGAGCTCCAACATTCCGGGCCAGTCCCTTAGCCTACAACTTCTTACCTGAACTCATAGAGTATGGAGACCCGGCTGGCCAAGTGAAGCTCGATTGCGGCATGCTGTGTGGCGCCAATGGCAAGACGACGACGCAGAAACACGCTTTTTGGCACCCCATCGAAGACGAGCTTGTTTGCGCACCCATAGCTCTAGTCTGCAAAAGGCAGGAGGTAATAGCGAGAAGCGTTCATCTTGTGTCATTTGGGGTATAGCAGTGACCGCGGAGGATTGATGCAAGCGTCTTGCTGGATAAGCCAACAACAATGCACGACTCAATCAACGCCCAGGTACCGCCAACCGGCACGCAGTAGGGACCCCGCAGGCAATGCGCGCATGGCAGACAGGATCAATGTGGCCCAGCACCTGGATATTCAAATAAGCTTGCTGCCGTTCCTGGAGCTGGGCTCTCTCCCTTTCATCGACCTTGTCCAATTGAGCTTTTACGAAGCTGGTCGTATTTGCAATGGCTCGCTACCTGAGTACTGTCGCAGCATTGGCCGCGACTGGCGCTTGTGTACTTACCCCAGAGTGCGTGAATCATCCCCATGTGCTTGTACGACATGTCCGATTGACATTTCACCAGGCTCCTGCTGAGCACGGTTCGTCGTGGAGCAGCGGAACCTAGCCCCGATGGCTCTGTCGCACTCTTCACCTACTCGCAGTACTCTTTCGAAGAGCACTCTGGTAGCTCTGGCTTGAACCAGATTGACCTCAAGACCGGCGACATCTCCGAATCAGGATGGAATGCCAGCGAGATCAACGAGTTTGTCTGGCTTCCTGGGACTGAGACGGGTATTCTATACATCAATGGTACCAACGAAGAGGTTCCCGGGGGTGTCACGCTGTGGATGGGTGATTTCAAGAGCCCCAACACCAGGTATGTGCAGGATTCATGCTTTTGACTAGTATCGTGGCTGATCTTCTTTAGCACAATGGTTGCGTCTCTTGACGCGCCATACTCTGGTCTGAGGGTTGCAAACACCTCTTCAGGTGACTTGCACTTTTTGGTCCATTCGATGGCCTACCCCAACGGTACTGCAGTCAACCCCGAAACCGAGGTTGTCCCCCACAGCACCGCCCGCCTTTACTCCAACATCTATGCCCGCCATTGGGATACGTGGCTGACGAAGAACCGATACGCTGTCTTTGCCGGTGCTCTCTCAGCAAACAATAGCTATGCGTTAGCTGGCACTGGTCTCCGTAACTTGAACCACGGCATCAACTTTACCACTACTCAGCCTGAGACCCCCATCCAGCCCTTCGGCGATTCCAGTGACTACGCGATCAGCCCAGATGGCTCAATGTACGCTTTCGTTAGCAAGGCGCCCCAGTTGAACAAGGCCAACTACACCGCTAGTTATGCCTACGTTGGCTCATTTGCCTCGTCTGAGCCTCCGGTTGCTTTCAACGGTCCCGAATCTGAGGCAGCGCAGGCTGGCCACAAGGGTGCATCTGGCCAACCTTCCTTCTCCAAAGACAGCTCTAAGCTTGCTTACATCCAGCAAGACGAAGACTACTACGAGTCGGACAGGTGGATTCTGTACACTGTCGACGTTTCTGTTGAAGGTAACGGTGTTTCTGTAAGCAACTGGAAGTCGCTGAGTGCTGGTTTCGACCGCTGGGTCCAAGGCCCACTTACTTGGGCTGAAGATGACCAATCAATCTTCGTGACTGCTGAAGACTACGGTCGTGTTAAGGTTTTCAACTTCCCCATTGATGCTGACGAGAGTTTTGTTCCTGAGCCAATGACCTCAAACACATCCGTTTCATCATTCTCCGTCCTCCCCAGTGGTTCTCTGTTTGTCACGGGTACTGCTGTCTGGACGCCAACCGAGTACTACACTGTTACAAACGGCACCAAACACACCCTCTTCGATGCCTCCCAGGTTGATCCCAACCTTGCAGGCCTTGGTGCCCATTCCTTCTCTGAGATCTTCTTCAACGCATCCAACCCTGCTCAGAAAGACCCTCTGCACGCGATTGTTGTCAAGCCCTCCAACTACATGGAAAATCAGACATATCCGCTTGCCTTCCTCATCCACGGTGGTCCACAGGGCGCCTGGCTCAACAGCTGGTCGAACCGCTGGAACCCCCAAGTCTGGGCCGACCAGGGTTACATTGTAGTCGCACCCAACCCCACGGGATCCACAGGCTTCGGTCAGGCTCTCACCGACGCAGTCCAAGGCGCATGGGGCAGCTGGCCATACGAGGACCTCGTCAACGCATGGAACTACGTCGACACCAACATGAATTGGATCGACACCGCCAACGGCTTCGCCGCCGGTGCTTCCTACGGAGGCTACATGACCAACTGGATCCAATCCCACGACCTCGGCAGGAAATTCAAAGCCCTCGTCACCCACGACGGCATCTCCAACACCCAAGGCGCCTGGGCATCAGAGGAGCTATGGTTCATCCGCCACGACTACAACGGCAGCATCTGGGAGTCGGACGCCTACAACAAATGGAACCCGCAAAACCACATTGCTAACTGGTCGACACCCCAATTCGTCATCCACAACACGCTCGATTACCGTCTGCCCGAGAGCGACGGTCTCAGCTTGTTCAATATCCTGCAGGCTCGCGGTGTTCCGAGCCGGTTTTTGAACTTCCCAGATGAAAACCATTGGGTGCTCAAGCAGGAGAATAGCTTGGTGTGGCATGAGGAGATTTTCAACTGGGTTAATCATTATTCCAAGGGTGAGCCGTTGAACGATGAACCTGTTGGTTATTAGGCTTCGTTCGTAATCGTTTGATGTTGGAAGAGCGCATAGCGGGGCCGTTTAGCGTTTACGAAATATAATGATAATGTTATCGATGTGGATGGTGCTGTGGGCAGGATATTGAATACAGTGTTGATGTGGCAATGTGAGAATTACAATCAAAGGTGGCAGAGTGATATACCATGGTAGTAAAATGCTGAATGGTATCATATGATCAAGTTTAACTACCTCTCAAACGTTTAATAACTACACAACCACAACCACACATGACCAACAATACCATCCCTGCTCACAACCCCCTGACTACTTCTTCAAGCACCAGTAGCGACAGCACTAATACATAAATCCTTCCCCATCTCCCCTATTACCCGTGGCGAATATGATATACTGCGTTCCTGCAGAGACCCACACGCCACCCTAACTTCTCCCCACCCTGTATACTGCACGCTTTTTGCATCACCAGTAGCCCACAATACCTCTGCTATCTCTCACCATGCATCATAAAGCCTTGATCAACAATGGTTTACGACCTTGGACTCTGCATCTACTGCTTCTGAGAGCATGTTTGCTGTAGCGAAGATGGGAAAGCGGTGGAGTGAGCTTGGTATTTGGGTACGGGTCTGTTGAATCCTGTTAGGTGTGTGAAATATGCAGAGATTTAAGTGTAGAGGTTTGTATGCAGTTTGTTCTTGCGCGGGTGTAGTGGTATAGTAGGGGGCGGCTGAGATCGAGTTTGTGTTGTTGGGAGTATGGGTGTGAATTTTCAAGTTGAATTATGATTCATGAAGAGGTATATGAGAATCTACCTGGATCCTGATAGCTGTACCTGGATTTAATTACCCGTGGATGAGAGTTGTTTTCAAGACACTGCACTGATAGGAAAGTTGTGGCGATTTGAACAATATTTTGACCAAGGCAGATGATATTGAGCCCATGTCCTTGCGAAGAAAAAGGCGGCATCACCATGTCCTAGTGGAGTTTTTCGTTGGCTATAAATAACACTTGTGGTCCTTGAATTCCTGTAGATACCTTCACGGCACTTTACATAGCGCTGGAAATGAGTGTGTAGTCATTATATATAAATATCGGAATTCTTGTAATGCAGTATGTGGAGGATAATGTACAACAGTCTAAAGTGATGGCAGATGCTTGAACTCTATGATTATGAGGAGCGTTATGGTAGGGTAGTTTATATTTAAAGGCTGTCTTCAAGGTGAGGTTATAAGGTGTTGTGAGGTGCGTTGAAAGATTGACCTCATATCTCTAGCTAAAATTCTACTGGTTCCAGTATTCGAGATGAAAGGAGCGCTGATGTTGACTCGATACAGTGCGGCACGTCTTGGGACGAATGGAAGGTACTTGATGCTTATCTAGGTACCGACCAGTCTTGCGCCAACGGTGACTGCTACGACCCACCTGTTCAAAGTCCCCACTGTTATGAGGACTCTGGTCTCGATCGCGATTGTGGATACAGATTGCGACTCCTGGAATCAGGGACCAAGGTGGAGCGCGCATGAAGTGACAGTGACCCAGCAACTCAAGCTTCCAGAAATGAACGCCGGTAGACGGCGATTACCGGTAACGCTCGAATCATGAGTCTGGAGTGATAAGCACATGCAGGCCTGCTTTGCGCCAGAGTGGCGACAGCACCAACATCACCAAGTTCATCCTTCACGCCTCCAACAAAGGAGGATTCTGCAACATACCTATCTTACTCTGCCAAGCCAGCGGAACACAGCATGCCTCAACTACGCCGCTCAAGTTTCTTGGCGCACTTTCACATGTGTCCAACAGCAGCGAAGCTTCCGCCTTGATACGAAGCCTTCGCCAACCAGCACACATCTCTCTTTGGCGGTCTTAACTCGATCCGTGAGAAAGATACGCCTTTGCCGTGTGTTTCGAGAAAGCGACTAGAAGGCGGGGCGTCCGCTGGCGATGAATGGGCCTGGCGCAAGAATCGATTGTACATGGGCTTTGATCAAGAGTCGGCCATGGCCTGCCGAAACAAATTCAGCTTCCTGTTCGGTGGTAGTCAGTAAGCAGATTCAGCGGCGCTTGTGGTGTGGAGTGCAGCCCAGGGCAAGAGACGCCTAGCAAGGCGGAGACTCTCGGCGCCCAGTCGGAGGGACAGCCATTTCTACGTTCGGTGACGAGCACGATATCAACTGAGAAAGTCGATCGAGGCTCGCTCACTCTGCAAGGCTTGCGCATGCTTTTCTTCATGTTCACCGACGAAATGATTCGCTTGTCGTACAATTCGGCGTTCGGCTCGACATAGTCTTTCGGCGGCGGCGTGTGGTTGGTACAGCATGTAGTTCAGATAAGAAAGAGCTAGGGTCGCGGAAGCCGTGAATGGCTGAGAAATATCTTCATCGCAAGATCAGCGGTACTGCCAAGCCATGAAGCACTGAACGAATATATCGTTTGAGTGGACCCCCGTCCATCCCACAACCTTGGCTTTGCGAAGCTCTGACAATGCTGACCGCGGTTGCTGGTTTTGAAAGGGCCCGATGCTGCAGGTCTTCTCACAAGACCATATCGGTGGGCGGCCTATCAATCCTCTAGCCACGAACTAGCCCTGGCTACAGTGTTACGGTGGAGTAATTCACCTGCTCGATACAGTATGACACGAATACCAAGATATGCATTATACCCTGGCACCAGTCTTGCCGCCTCGTGATGGCTGCAAGGCGAGTTTAAAATCACCGGCGTGGCCTACTCGATACCACGGTAGCAGGCAAATCGTTTTGTCCCACGCTCGTGTCCAAAATCCAGTCTCCTGGCAAGGTCTCCACAATCCACTGTACCACCAGGACAACTGGAAATCTGCCCATCATGACAGCCAACGCCGCTTCCAACGCAGTGGACATGGCCATGCACAATGAGCCCAAGGTCGCAACTCCGCTCTACGAAGTGGAGGAGAAACATGCGCTTTCCCGCTCCGACACTACGAACAGCCATCATGTTATCGCTGAGTTCGAGGCCGATCTAGAGGGCGAGGAGCCTACCATGGAGGAGTTGAAGACACTGCGCCGTGTGTCGGGCAAGATCCCCTGGACGGCTTTCACTATCGCTTTCGTAGAGCTTTGCGAGCGTTTCGGATACTATGGTTGCCAAGTGCTATGTACGTCGTTCACGTAACTTGGGGAATAGAAGTATACTGATTCACTGCAGACACAAACTTCATCCAACAGGAGCTCCCCGTCATCGACGGCGTTGTCTCAAGAACTGGTGCTGATCCACGTTCCGAGGGCCAACCTGGAGCTCTAGGAATGGGCCAGCGAGCCTCATTTGGCATTGGTCAATTCAACTCCTTCTGGTCCTACACTACGCCCATCATTGGTGCAATCATTGCTGATGAGTACCTCGGACGCTTCAACACCATTTTCATCGCCATTGCTTTCTCCATCGTTGGTCACATCCTGCTCATTGTCTCGGCTATTCCAAATGTTCTTACCGGCGGAAATGCCATTGTCCCCTTCATCCTCGGGGTCATCACCCTTGGATTCGGAACCGGTGCTTTCAAGGCAAACATTTCTCCTTTGATCGCCGAGCAGTACCGCCAGACCAAGCCTCGTGTCATCAAGGACCCAAAGACGGGCGAGCGCGTCATCTCTGACCCCAACATTACGCTCTCGCGTATCTTTCTGTACTTTTGTAAGTTCACTTGTTTCGGTTCCAAGTCTGAGAGCAGAAGCCCCTTTTCGAGGGGCTCCTGACCTTTACGACAATACAACGACAAGAAATTACATCAGCACAAACTTGCGATAGTGTACTTTATGGTATACTCAGATCGTACAAGTAGATTTGTGTGGATTATCGTTGTGTTGATGTTGCTGGCCGATGCCCCCAGATCAGGTGTACTAACTGGCGATCAGACATGTTTATCAACATCGGATCACTCGCTGGACAACTATCCATGGTATTTGTGGAAAAATACATAGGCTTCTGGTATGAGATGGTCCTGTGCCCCCTAATCAAGAAATACTGACTTGTACAGGTGCGCATGGCTGCTCCCCACCATCATGTTCTGCTTCTGCCCAATCGTCCTCTGGTTCTGCCGCAAAAAGTACCACATGAGCCCTCCCACAGGCTCTGTCCTAGTCCGTGCCATGAAACTCCTCGGCCTCGCCATGAAGGGCAAATGGTCCGTCAACCCCGTCCAGACACGCAAGAACTTGAAGAACGAGCGCTTCTGGGAGGATGTCAAGCCCAGCCATCTCGGCGCCAACAAGCCTGGATGGATGCAGTTTGACGATGCCTGGGTTGACCAGGTCGCTCGTGGTCTCCGTGCCTGCTCGTGCTTCACTTGGATTCCTCTCTACTGGCTGTCTTACAACCAGATGAACAACAACCTGACCTCGCAAGCGGCCACCATGACGCGCAACGGTGTGCCCAATGATGTGATTACCAACCTCAACCCCATCTCCCTCGTCATCTTCATCCCCATTGTCGACAACTTCCTCTATCCTGCTCTCCGCAAGGCAAACATCCGCTTCACGCCCATCAAGCGCATTGCCCTCGGTTTCATCCTCGCCTCCATGGCCATGGTCGCTGCATCCGTTATCCAGCACTTCATCTACAGCACCGGAGCATGCGGCAAGTACATGAACGGCTCCGACTGCGCCCCCGCCCCCATCAACGTCTGGGTCCAAGCCGTACCCTACATCCTCGTCGGTTTCTCCGAAATCTTCACCTCCATCACCGGACTCGAATTCGCCTTTACAAAGGCGCCCAAGAACATGCGCTCCCTTGTGACCTCGTACTGGCACTTCATGTCCGCCTTTTCCAACGCGCTCGGCCAGGCGTTTGTCTCGCTGTCAGAGGATCCCCTGCTCGTTTGGAACTACGCCGTCGTTGCTATTCTCGCTTTTGTGGGCGGCATCTTGTTTTGGCTGCACCAGCGCAAGACGGATGCCAAGGAGGATCTCTTGAATATGTTGCCAGACTCGAATTACATTGGAAAGGACCGGAGGCACAGCGTTGTAGGTGAGACGGAGGCTCAGACTGAACACCTTTCCAAGGCACCGGTAGCTCCTCATGCTTAGGCTACTTTTGTTCTGTTGGGCATAAGGTTTTTGTTACATTGTGCGGTTGGAGTGGGTGTTAATTAAGCAGTGGTGCGAGATGTCATGATACCAATTCTGTTTACATGGACTTGATTGATGTATTGCATTCCTAGACACATGACTCGCATTCTATCTATTTTATTGTGATTATGTGCGCCTCATGATTTTTCATCGCTCGCATTCTCCACACGCATCGACGGCACTAATTCAAGGGAACTACCGCCCATCATTCAATCCAATCGCTCACAGCCTCTCACCAGATCTAATGTCATCGTAGCCGCACAATGTACCAAAGAACCTTCTTTCATACATCCGCATACTTTACCTCTAATTTCTTCCCCCATCCAGCCATGCACATCAAACCCCCCCTCCCCCTGAAAGATTGAAAATTTTGCATTTCCTGCAGCTCTGGCAAACCTGCACTCTGCTCAATATACCACGCACATAGCTAACTTGCTAGGCGGTTTTACATAGGAATATGACAGATAAATATCAAATGGGGTTATCATTCAAGATGGTTGGTTAGCTTCGTGGTTGCGTGCTTTTGACGGAGTGGAAGGGTTCAGTGGAGAAAGATGTTGGTGTTGCTCTAGTGGTAAGTGTGAAGGGGATTGAGTAGGTGCATGACAGCGTTATTTGACATTAGGGTAATGATTGCGTGGGTGGCTAGGGGTAGTATCGTCGTGTACAGAGACGACTGTTTGGCCGCACACGCTAGATTCGAGTAACAAGCCGAAGAAGTATTCTCGTCCAAAAAATACGCTCATATGGACGACACACTGTCCCCCTCCCCCATCTTCCCCAACCACCACCTCTTCCCATAAAACCCCACCAAGCCAACCGCCCAAACCGCGCCCAACACACCAGCCTGCACCGGCGCAAACACCGCGCCCCTCACCACCACGAACCCACTAATCAGCGCAAACAGCAACGGAACAAGTAGCAACGGCTTAACGGGGCGCGGTAGGTCCGGCTCGCGGAAGCGCAGGATGATGGCGCCGAGGACGGTGAGGAAGAAGAAGGCGTATTCTGCGAGGCCGTTGAGGGTAAGCAGGATGCGCATGTTGCCAAAGAGGATGTATATTGCGCTGAGGAGGGTGTTGAGAAGGAGTGCATTGATGGGGGATTCACCCTCGTTGAGGGCTTCGTCGGGGGTGATGGGGTCGAGCTCGTTGCGGGAAGACGAAATTTTGGAAGGTCCGATGTGGCCTACACTGCCCAAAATGCGGGGGATCCAGGCGTTGTTGGACGCAGCAACTGTCATGCGACCTGCGACGAACGAGTTGCCCAGAGCGGAGCCGGCGATGACGAGGCAGATGAGAGCAGTGGCGACATAGGCTGCGCCTTTGCCAAGGAAGTGAGTGATTGCTGTAACGGCTGCGGCGTCGGTTGTAGAGACAATGTGCCAGGGGAGAAGAATGTAGTATACGGCGTTTGCGGCTACGTAGCAGATGATAATGGCGGGGATGGCAGTGTTGATGGAGAGGGGGAGTTGGCGGGTGGGCTCTCGCAGCTCGGCGGCAACGTAGTTGGCCTTGTCCCAGCCAGAGTAGGCCCAGAGTGCGCCATATAGGGCTGTGCTATAGAAACCTAGGGATTCCCAGGCGGTGACTTTGGTCCAGTCGAGGCGGTCTCCGTTCGGAAGGACTGTGTCGCGGGGAGTGAACCAGTTATGTCTGTGCCAATCGTTGCCTCCAAGATCTTTGCCTCCTGCTGCGTACACAAAGATAACGACCAGACCAGCAATGATGAGGAGAATGATGGTAAAGAATTTGACAGCGACGAAAAAGCCAGAAAGTCTTGTACTTGTCTTTGTGCTGATGGAGTTTAGGGTGGTTACTACTACGAGGACCAACAAGGATAACAGCTTGTGCGTCAGCGGTGGATCAGGCTCGTTGATTCCCAAGCTGGAATAAATGCTTTCCACAAATACGATGCTCAAGATCGCCAGGGTTGCTGGCATAGTTGCTGTGATCCATGACCAGGCTGCCATGTAACCAAAGACTTCGCCATAGATGTAGGTGAGATAAGGTTGGATGCCGCCCTCGCCTGGAAAAGCAGTGCCTAGCTCGGCCATGGTCAGCGCTCCAGTCCACGCTAGAATGCCACCGAGAAGCCATATGAGAAGTCCAGCGCCTGGAGAAGGAACATTGGCATCGATGGGGCCGGGAGAGGAAAAGACACCAGAGCCAATGACTATGCTGATGAGAAGGGCGAAGCCATCCAGAGCAGTGAGATTACTGGCAAAAGTTGCACGAGGTGGTGCTGGATCTGGATGTTCTTCGTCTGGGACATGAGGAAGTGTGTCTTCTCGCTGCAGCAGGAGTGGTGATGACTCTGAGAGAGCCATGTTGAAGCTAAACGGGACGGTGGGTAGTTCGGATGAGGCTAGGCTCGTGGTGGGAAGCGAGAATTAGTCAAGGAAGCTGGCTCAAGGCTCCGCTGTCTCACGCGCATTGAGGGAGGACAGGAGACTCTTCATTTTTCGAAAACGTCGAGGCGTGACGCGTTATCACGATCGATGAAGCAAGACTGGCGTCACCGGGGATATCACGGACTTGGGTGACCTTTGATCCCGACGCCCGCGCTAGTCGTGTGTCCCGAGGTAACTTCACCGCGTCCACCACCTCTCGTGCCACGGCTGCGACTTGAAGGTATCAAAATGCTGTCGTCTGCCTTGAGATGTAGCGCTTGCCCTGATCCCAACTCCATCAGTCTTCGTCATGGTGGTACGTCCATACTTCACTGCAGATAGGCATGTCCTGCCCTTCGACAAGGTCATGGAACTTGAGCGCATCGATGATGGGACGTTTCGCTCGATAGTGAAAGCATATTCACCTACTGGAGGGGAGAATGGAACGTATGGTGGCCATGTGTTTGCCCAAGCTGCATGGGCAGCTGCTCAAACTGTGCCAGCGGGATACATGATACACGTGTGCTATTCCTTCCTCCTCGGCTGTAACTCCATCTAATCAGTTCGATGCAGAATATCACGGGGTACTTCACCCTCGGAGGTCGTCCGGAGGAGCATTATACTTACCGTGTGGCCAAGATCCGCGATGGCTACAACTACATCACGCGCGCTGTGAGCGTGTCTCAAGTCGCCAGCCATGGCGCCATGTTCACCTGCACCTGCTCCTTCAAACGTGAAGAAGACTCGCCGATTGATATCCAGGACATCATACACTTGAAGGAAACCTACCACGCTGCCCTCGAAGGAAGAGAAAATGAACCGATGCAACATGAAGCGACACCAAGCAATGACTCGGTGCACTTTAGTGAAACCTATCTCCCTGCACATCCAGAGCACTTTAATCCAATAGGAGGGCTGCATCTACGCAAAGTCGACATGAGCGTATTCAACAATTCGAGGAACCCGCTGGATAGGAGGCAGCTGATGTTCTACTCCCTGCGTGGTGCTTTACCCCTTCCCACAGCGCCTTTTCCCCCTCCCCCGAGTAATTCGGCCGAAAAGATGGGCTTGACCAGGGAAGCTAACCTCCACGCCTGCGCTCACCTCTACGCCTCGGATCGCAATTCCCTCTTCATCATACCAAACCACGTTGACCGCGGACGGGACTTTACACGAATGGCTTCACTATCGCACACGGTGATGTTCCATGTTGGGATTAGAGACCTGTTCATGCTAGCTGAGCCGCGCATCAACCATGCAAATGCCGATCCTACGTTGTGGGAAGATGGATCGACGCCGCTTTGTAACATTGGTGGTCTGGGAGGGAAGCAAGGAGGCGATGCTGATGGAAGAAAGTGGTTTGTACAGGAGGCGTGGATGACGAGGGTGACGGGCGGGCGAGGATTACATACGAGTCGGATGTGGGATTATGACCGTGGTGTACATGTTGCCACGACTTTTCAGGATGGACTGGTTCGGTTCAAGGCCACGGGAAAACTATGAACTGGATGGAAGTGCTGCGTTGGATTTCGAGAGGGGTTGATGGATATATGGGGCTGTTGAAGGAATGACCAAGACCAAAACGTACATCTTAATTTTACCCGTCGTATGACCCTGGGATTTATTTGTTGATTGTGTACCTTGTGTCGTAGATACCAAAGAGGATCACATGGGAAACAAAAGCTACGCCAAGACTAGCTTATGTAAGTAAGCCTTCCCAACTGAGTGAAAACATCCTGTAGACGAATACTCTCTCTACAGATACTACTGTTGCTCCAACTCGACAGACCTCAGCCACACCACCAACGCCCTACCCTACTTGCGTCTCGACATGCATGTTCCTGGCTTTTTTTTGCAGATTCTTATCACTACCGGATGGGAAACGAGATGATCGCCAGTGGTTCCCCAGCCACACGATCGGACGTCACCAACCACACAAGCTGCACTTGGCATGGACTTGGCACCGAAAGCTTGGGTTGTGGCTGAGAAGACGATGATTGCCTCCAAGAGCAGAATGTGGTCGGCCTGACGGGCTGACTTCTATGATCCGTTGATCGAGTCCCTCCTGATCGTGTACTAGAGTAGTGAGGTGAGAGATTGGCCCAGCAGAACAGGGCATATCCTGGCCTCCACAATGCCGTACATGTGCAACGGAGCTTGTGAAGATCCACATCTAGTACTCTAGGATGATGATGATGATGCTCGCTCAGATTGCTCCCGCGAGGCCAGACTATAAATGGTCGTCCTCGATGTCATACTGCCGGCTAGCGGCAGCCACATCCCTGCCGTGTTTCCTTGTGCGATCAGTTCCAACAAAAACAGCATGCCTGGCTTGATTTCACCAAGGCTGTGCAATCTTCTGTCCGCCCATCCCCAGCTTGCCATCGTCACTCTCTTCCGCCCTTTGTCTCGTTCTCGCCGTCTGTGATAGAGTGACAGTCTATCCGGTGTGTTCTGTCGTCGCGCCGCTGCTCTTCCACGTGATCGAGTCGCCAGGTCAGACTGCGCCCCCAGCATCAACACTCGCGCCAGCAACTGACTTTTTCGCGTAGTTCAAGCGCGCTTCCGATTGTGAGCCATTCTTGCCGGACTGGAATCTGACTGGATTGGGGTATACAAGTCTTTCTTCGACTTCTTCGACGCGTCTACGCGTGTGATACATAACAACTGTCGCTCTTTGTCTGAATTCAATTTCTCGGTCTGATGCAATGGCAAGCGCAATGGCCGAACCAAACCTCGAACCTCGCGAAGATGCTAGCGGAACAGTAGGCATTGGACAAGGACCCCAGGTCGTCAGCACCTCGGATACCCTGGATGTCATTGCTGGACCGCTCCTCAACTACCGGCGCACCAGCAATCAGCAGACTGGCCAGCCGGTCTGGCATGGCAGCGTCTTGATAGTCACCACCCCAGGACAGCAGAGCCCACAGCTCGTCCTGTCTCCTGCCGGCGCTGTCAATGCGACCATCGGCAACAACGCAAGATTCACCGTAGACGCCCGTACTTTCCACGGCGAGAAGCTGTACGAGGACCCGAACAAGGCCTTTTGGCGGTTCATCATCGAGGCACCCATGCAGCAGTTTGAGTCGCGATGGAGCTACGACATCCAGAATCTCGTCTACGTGGACCGTGCCAAGTTGCAGAAGCCGCAGAACTTCGTCATACCCTCCATCACCCAGTCGATGCGCATCATGTTCCACTCCTGCAATGGCTTCAGTGTCGGCACCGATGTAGACGCTTGGTCTGGTCCGGCACTCTGGAACGATGTCCTTCGCATGCACGAGCAGCGCCCCTTCCATGTCATGATAGGAGGAGGTGACCAAATCTACAACGATGGTGTGCGCGTGGACGGCCCGCTCAAGCCGTGGACGGACATCCACAATCCGCATAAGCGACGCGAATACCCGTTTGGCGAGCAAATGCGCGCAGACTGCGACGAGTACTACTTCAACAACTATGTCCGCTGGTACGGTCACAAGCCTTTTTCTACCGCCAACCGTCAGATCCCCCAGGTCAACATTTGGGATGATCATGACATCATCGATGGATTTGGTTCCTATACTGATCATTTCATGAAATGCGCCGTCTTCAGGGGTATCGGTGGTGTTGCCCATAAATACTACCTCCTGTTCCAACACCACCTCGCACCCCCAAAGAGCACATTCACCACTGATGCGCCGCAGACCACTCAGGCGGCAGCCGATGGTTCCGCGCCGGCGGATCATGTGCAATTGAGGAATACGTTTGTCATGACCGACGATGTAGGCGACCCATCCTACCTCATTGGAGCCAAGCCTGGCCCCTATGTTGAGGAACGCAGTCGTAGCATCTACTGCCAACTGGGTGCGCGCATTGCATTTGCAGGTCTCGACGCGAGAACCGAGCGCACCAGACATCAGATCAACTACCCCGAGACATACAAGATGCTGTTTGATCGTCTCGACAAGGAGTTCTCCGCCAACACCGAACTAAAGCACTTGGTTCTATTGCTGGGTGTCCCAATCGCCTACCCACGCCTCATCTGGCTCGAGAATATCTTGCAGTCTCCCCTTATTGCGCCCATCAAATTTCTGAACAAGCGCTTCGGATTCGCAGGTGGCTTCTTCAACCAATTCGACGGCAAAGTGGATTTGCTCGACGACCTGGACGACCACTACACGGCACGGCAACACAAGACGGAGCGCAGAGAGCTCATCCAAATGCTCCAAAACTTCTCCAAGAAGTACTCGGCCCGCGTCACCATCCTCGGCGGAGACGTCCACCTCGCCGCCATCGGCCGCTTCTACTCCAACCCCAAGCTGCAAATTCCAGCAGAGCAGGACTGGCGCTACATGCCCAACATTGTCAGCTCAGCCATCACCAACAAGCCGCCGCCCCAGGCCGTGGCCAACCTACTCGCCCGCAGAAACAAAATCCACCACCTCGACCACGACACAGACGAAACCCTACTCGAAATCTTCGACCGCGACCCCGGTCCACCAGGCACCCACGGTAACTACGGCCAGCCCAACGGCACCGCCCACGCAAACGGCAACGGCACCACCACCACCACCACCGATACCACGGACAAGAAAATCGACAAGAAAACCTCAGACGCAAACCACGCCACAATGCCCTCCCGCAACTACGCCATCATCTGTGAATCCGCCCTCCCACCCTCCTCCACCCTCTCCGCCCCTACCCCCACCCCCGGCACAGCCCCCTCCATCACAACAACCACAAACGACGCCGCATCCACCCTCTCCGCGCCCCCCTCGCGCAAAGACAATCCCCGCCTCCCCATACACGCAGGTGAGAAACAAGCAGGCACGCGACATCCAGCCGCCAATGGGATTACGAGTTCCGGGCTGTGTGGGCCGCATGGTCTCGATGTTACGCTGCGGGTTGAGATTTCTAATTCTGATGCTGGGGGTGGGACGGATGGGTATGGGTTTTGTATTCCGGGGTTGCAGAGTGCGGGGTTTGTGGAGCAGGGGGGGAGGTGGTGAGGTGGTGAGGAGTATGTATGTGTGTGTGTGTGTGTGTGTTTGTAATTTTGTTTGATTATACCCGAATTGTGGATGTGTAGTTTTTGTGTTTAGAGGCACTGTGGTAATGGTGGTAGTGCTGTGCTAATCGATAATAACGTACTTGAGATGTTGATTTTGAGGCAAAATTCCGAATCGATTTTCTCCACAAACAAAAAAAGTGGATTTTCCATCAGAAACTCTCCCATAAACGCCGCGCATATGCTCTTAATTCAATTATCCATTGATCCAGTCAGACCTACTCCTCCCCCTCATCGTCCCCCAACACCTCGTCCCGCCCCAACCCCACCTCCTCGCCCACCCTCCTCACCACTTCGCGGATCGCCCTACACGCCGGACTATCCGGATACGCAGACAAGAAGCTCTCGCCATAATCACAGGCCATACCGATGCGCGGATCCAACGGGACAGCCCCAAGATATGGGATCCCCATATCCGCCGCCAACCGTTGAGCGCCGCCGGTACTAGCACGAAAGATCTGAGCCTCATGGCTGCAATTCGGGCAGACAAAGCCAGACATATTTTCGACGAGGCCGAGGACGCGGATGCCTGCCTTTTTGCAAAAGTCGATTTCCTTGCGGACGTCGAGGAGGGCGATTTCCTGGGGAGTGGTGACAACGAGGGCGCCGGTGAGGCCGGTTTCCTTGAGGTACGCGTTCACGCTGAGATGTTCGTCCGAGGTGCCGGGTGGGGTGTCGACGACGAGCCAGTCGAGGGCACCCCAGGAGACGTCCATGAGGAATTTCTTGATGAGTCCGTTCTTCTTGGCACCGCGCCAGATGACGGCGTCGTCGCGGTTGGGCAGCATGAATTGCACGCTCATGACGCCGAGGTTGTCCGTGGCCCAGACGGGTTCCCAGCCCGAAGACGTGACGTGGATGGTCGAGTCTTCGACGCCCATCATTTTCGGGATGCTGGGGCCGCAAATGTCCGTGTCCATGAGGCCGACGGTGGAGTTGGGGTTGAGGGCGAAGGCGTGTGCGAGCATGGTGCTAAAGGTCGATTTGCCGACGCCGCCTTTGCCGCTGAGGACGAGGAGCTTGTGGGTTATGGAGGAGAGGCGGGCGGTTATGAGGGGGATGTCGGGGTCGGGGCCTTTGGGCGCAGAGGCACATATAGCCTGGTTGGGACAGCCGGCACAGGAGTCGGCTTGGCCTGCTTGTTGGGACTCGGGACCTGGGCAGTGCTCTAGAGAGGATGTATGTTAGAACGGTGTTTAAGACAGTGTTATGTTATGAGGGGAGGATTTCACATGGGAGGAGGGGTGGCGCGGGAGAGATGCGAACGAACCTGGCTCTGGAGCAACAAGCTTGGGCGCAGCTTTGAGGGGCGCATTGAGGTCGACCTGGACCGGCTCTTCCAGTGAGGGCGCCATGTATTTGCGAAAGATTGTGTGTGAGGGCAGAAGCGTGCGACTACATTATTGCGTCGAGATGGAAAAGACGTCGGGCGCTTGATAATCAGCATCCGCCATAGGGCTGACTCTGGACAGGCCTTGGCGTTCTTGCCCCACGCTCGGGCCGATCGCCTGCAAGGATCTCACGTCCCAAACGAGCCGAAAGCTACTATCTGGGAGTAAAGTAGTAGGTAGCGAACGCATGCATAACCATTGATGAATGTACAACTATAATATGTACCAGTACACCCAAAAAACCAAGTCGAGCGTAATCCTATGCAGGCCAACCATATCCATATCTAATGTCCTTTTTTATCATTTTTCATTCCCGCCACCTAGACCAACCTTTTACTTGATTTTGACCATGACGTACGGAATCTCCACATCCTCCTCCGCCCTATCTTCCGCCGTAATCTCGAAGATGACATTCTTCTGGTGAGCCGGCACAGCCTTTTTACTGACATGCTCGACAAGCTTGCTCATTCTGTGATTTAGTTAGCTATCAATACCCCACAAGCGTAGAAGAAATGTCAGCAACTTACGTCAATCCCATCCTGTCCTTCAACTTCGCCGGTGGGTAAAACGACGCATACAACAAGCTTACTCCCGAACTGATCATCTGGATAGATAAGCCCTTCTCTTCAAAATGGTCCACGAACTCCTTCAGCGTGATATCATCAACCTCGAAGCGATCCCATAGCTTGTCAATGGTGACCTGGCCCTGAGGACCCTGGTACGTGCCCTTTGGACTCGCAATCGGCTCGCTAAACCCAAAGAACGGTAGCGCCAGGTTGACGAAGCCGTTCTTGTACTGCTCAATGTCCGTCTTGCCATCGATGATCTTGTACAACTCTAGGTTGACGAGACCAGTGACCAGCGCAGTGGTAGTGGCAATGGCAGGGATGATCTTGCCGGCAATGAACTTGGTCTTATGTCGGTCCGCTTGCTCAATCTTGTAGTTTTCCGCACGGAGGTTGCTAGCTGCCGTAATAAAGTCAATGTGGTGGTTGGTGTCGTCGTCTTTTTCAAATTCGACAGGCTCGAGCTTCACGCCCGCCAGTGACTTTGGTTCTGGTAGCTGTTTCATGATGTCCTTGAGCTCATCGCCATTGTTGCCACCAGAAGGTTGTGCGTTTGGATCAGGCTCCTTCTCGTCTGCCTGAATCTTGACCGTGGGATCGGGCTGGAAGTCGGGCACAATCATGTCGTTGAGTACCTCGACATAGTGTGCGCGGCTAGCATTGGGCTTGATACCGTAGTTGAAGGCATGCAAGGTAGCCGCAGCTTCGACATAGGTGAAATGAGTCTGGTTACTAGGATCAAACTTCAATGGGTCTGGTGCGCGCTTTGGTCCTGACCAGAATGGCTGACCCGATCCGGTTGTGGAGTCCTTGGGGAAATTGTATAGCAGCTGTGCGATCGAATGGTTATAGTTCTTTTCGAATTGGTGGCGAGCCCAGATGATGCAGTCATCAAACGACAACGGCTTCTCGGTTACGAGGAAGTCACGTAGCGTTTCCAAAGTCTGCTTCTCGTTTCCAGACTGCTTCAGTGATGCACCTAGGTAGTCCGGCTGCGTGAGGTAGAGGTTAACGATTTCGGGTCCCTTGACGAAGAGCGAATCGAATGATTCGCGCGCCCATGCAATGGTGTGCTCGATGCGGTTGGGAAAACTCCTTAGTGTACACATTGGGAATGACTTCTCGGGAGGATCCTGTGATGAAGAGTACGACTCTGTGATGAATGGCAGTACGACTTGGGTGTTGCCCTTGGTTCCGAGAGTACCGCTGTCAAGCAAAGGCTTGCGGAAGAAGACGCATCGGCGATCAACATATGTGCGTGCTTCCACGTTATCCAGTGCGTTTGTGACTCCATCCAGCTCGTTCCAGAACGTCTCGTTGAAGATGTGCTCTGTCTCGGGTCCCACCTTGTCTTGCAAGGTGATGATCTTGCCTTCAAGATCTGGATTCATCGCTACTACCGCCTTGGCTGCCGCATCACTCTTTAGCTTGCCAACATCTGTGGGTCGGAATAGAAATTGGCGGTTCAGGTTGCTCTTTTCGATCTGATCGTTGTCGGTGACTGTGATTTTTCCATTTGGTCCAGCACCGAGACCCATCAATGCCCAATTCTTCAACATCTCGCAACCAATGGCACCTGCACCTACCAAGAACTGCTTGACGTTGCCCAACTTCTCCTGGTATTCGCGGCCCAGTACGGCGATCTGGCCATCGTAGCGGGAGTTGATGGGGCTACACTCTTGCTCTGAGCGCTTTGTCGAGGTCGGGAGTGATTCTAGTGAGTCGAAGTAGAGGAACTGAACAATGGGATGGAACTTTCCAGATACAGCCTTGAGGACTTCCTGTGCAGCCATTCCACCAAAGAAGGCAGCAATCGGACTCAAATCACCGCGCGCCTGGTAGCTGAGCTCTGTGATTAGCTTCTCGTCCAACTCGACCTTTTCCTCTCCCTGCCCAGCAATCTCCTGGGCAATCTGGAAGACCTCCTTTGCGTCTGCCTCGTGGTGAGGCCGTGGCAGCTCGCCCTTGTGTAGATTTGCAAAGTGGTGGAGTGCCTGGACACCGACGTGCAATTGTTGCGGTCGGTCGAATTTGGCAAAGTCAGAGATGAGAAGTTCGGGCTTCTTGAGCTGTTTGCTGAAGGGCTCGAAATCGATGATCTTGGGCATCTTGACCTGGATGTACTGGCCCCCCTTTTTGTATGTTCCCAGACCAGAGACGTCGCCAATGGAAAAGGTATATGGTCCCTTGACTTCGACCTTGCGAGGCGCGCAGTCGTTTAGGCCCTCCATGCCCTCAATCTCGGAGAAGGTGACCCAGTCGCCATCCTCCAGACCGTGTCGTGTCTCGTCCAAAGCGGATACCAGACCCGACTCATCGATTCCAGCAATGATGCCGCTGTTCACGTTCTCGCCGGTAGGGTCGCCAATGGTGAAGTTTTTGCCAAAGTCGGTGAAGATGGTGCCAAACAAGCCAAAGGTGTCGGTGATGACAATGTAGATGCCGTTGTCGTGGCAGTAGTCGGCAATCTTGATTTGGTCGTCCAGCGATGTGTCGGTGAGGACGACGACCTGGAAGTGCTTGAGTTGCGACAAGTCTGACGTCAGGTCGCGCCCGCTGAATTCCTGGACAGGTGTGTATGGGTTGAGTTCTGAGACGCGGGGCACGGTGACCTGTGCGCGCGGCTTTCCGACATCCTCTGGGCGCAGGAAGAACTGTGAGGAGAGGTCGGCGAGGCGGGCAGGCTTGGGGTCGTAAAGGGTCAGCGACTTGACACCGGCGAGGGCAATGTTTTTTGCGATTTCGACACCGAGGCCGCGCAGACCGGCGACGAGGACATTGGAGGAGCCCATGCGCTTCATGGCCTCGTGGCCGAGCACGTACAGCTGTCGGCTGTAGAGCGACTCGTCGATTTCGCCATTGTTGTTGGACGCTTCCTTGAGCTGCTCGACGGCAGTGGCAGGACTGTCAACCTGCATGTTTTCCTTTGTATGTGTCAGGACGGCGGTGCGTGGGCAGCAAAGCGTGTGCAGTGCAGTGAAAGAGGGAGGAGGCAAAATGGCCTTTCGGGTGGTGGAGAGACTCCAAGCTCCAAGCTCCAAGCTCGCCGCAAGCAAAGCTGGCTGACAGAAGGCCTCGCTGGTTACAAATCATGGTCGAAACAGCCCCGCGCATCCACATGGGACAAGGACAAGGACACGCACATGCACATGCGCATCCACTGCCATCTTCTGCTGCTTCTCCAGTCTCTCCACCACCGGGTCCAGGGCCAATGAGGTGCTCACTTACTGCCATGGCTCTCTTGTTAGGACCTTCGCCCTCTACGTTGGACTTCCGCTTCAACAGTTTGCCGGCGGTTGCTGAGTCTCACACCTAGCGAAAGAAGCAGCAGTGGACGGGCGCCTGGACAAATGGCGGGGTAAGTAGTGCTCGCCTTCACGGGTTGAAGACGAAGAAGAAGAAGAAGTATAGGGTCGAATGAGGAAAAGTATGTTGGGCTTCTTCTTCTAGTTGCTCAGTACTGATAAGTGGTGGATGTAGTAAACAGTGTTTTGCATGGGTGGCGCCGTTGCCATCGTAATCGAATGAAGGTGAGCTTCCCGGCGGCGGCCCCACTTGTTTCCTTGGCGTGCCTATATCGGTACCTAGGTATTCAAACTGCTTGCTTGCTTGCTTCATTGTCGCAATAAGAATCTGTTTGTTGGCAATCTTTCCAATACATTTGACTAGACTACCAGCAATTTGTTTTTTCCACTGCGTGACTCGGAGGCCGTCTGTCTTTGAAGCTGTGAACAAGACTGATTGTGTCACGCAAGTGCCTACAAAATGGTTTCGTGCTTCTGGATCTGATTGAAACATATAAAATATGCCTAGAGACTATGTCTTCTATCAATTCAGATGGGTATACAAAACATCTCCCTCCCTCTCTCTCTCTCTCTCTCTCTCTCTCTGAATTTATGATTTATTTGACTGGCCTTTAATATGACGTCACAATGGCACGTCGAAGCATGGACTCAGGTATTCAGATGGGTATACAAAACATCTCCCTCCCTCTCTCTCTCTCTCTCTCTCTCTCTGAATTTATGATTTATTTGACTGGCCTTTAATATGACGTCACAATGGCACGTCGAAGCATGGACTCAGGTATTCAGATGGGTATACAAAACATCTCCCTCCCTCTCTCTCTCTCTCTCTCTCTCTCTCTGAATTTATGATTTATTTGACTGGCCTTTAATATGACGTCACAATGGCACGTCGAAGCATGGACTCAGGTATTCAGATGGGTATACAAAACATCTCCCTCCCTCTCTCTCTCTCTCTCTCTCTCTCTCAGAATTTAAGATTTATTTGACTGGCCTTTAATATGACGTCACAATGGCACGTCAAAACATGCACTCATGTATTCATATGGGTATACAAAACATCTCCCTCCCTCTCTCTCTCTCTCTCTCTCTCTCTGAAATTATGAAATATTTTGACTGGCCTTTAATAT